CCCAAGTTATAATTTACGTCACCTTTGTAGCACTTGTCTAAAGCGTCCTCTTAAGATAGTTCAGAATCAAGCTCGCTTCCAAATTGGTTTCACAGCGCTGCTGAATCCTACATCAGTGCCCCCAAAATGTATAATCATCTGTCAAAACATTGCTCTGTCCGGTTCTCAAAATTATATTTTTTGTTAAATACAGTGAAAACTTTTTACAACCTTGTCTCAATGAGCTCGTTTTTCCCCCCAGAAAACCACTGTTCCTCACACATCATTCTTTAAAAAAAAATCTTTAAAGTCAGAATGTCACAGTGGGCGTGTCCGGGTTCTGTAAATGTGGCTTGTTGAAGCTAATGGCGTATTAAATGCAGGAAAATCATTAAGATACATGAATGAAGACCATTTTAACATGATTGAAAGCTCTTGCAGTTGATTTGCACAATTTTATCTTTAACACTATACAGAAGTTGAGACATTGTCACCTTTTTGCACATCATAAGACTTTTTACATGTTTGAGATACTATACAGCAATAATGTTTACTTTTGAAATGCGTTTAAAAAAACAACAAACAACAAAAAACACTCAATGTGAGGCGTATGCTACATTTGAGTTCATGCCAAAGAGACTGCCAAACCCAAGATGAAGAAGTGAGATTGATGCTGCTGAAAGTGCCTCTGTGTGTGTGCATGGTTGGTCATCCTTTGCAGTTTGCATTAGTAGTACGCCCTCACACATTCGTTTGTTTGATCATTAGAGATTTGTATACACTGCTGTCTTTCTGAATTCACTTTGTCTTGTTCACTATCTGCCTTCTTTATCCCTATCCTCCCTCTGGCTTTTGTATCCCTTCATGAACACCTCTCACTATATATTTTATGGTGTGACTGCTGTTTAAAACCCCACTGATTGCTTTGTTATGAAGGTGCCCATGCCTCTTCCATTGCCCCTAATGGTACCTGCTGCGTACTACTTCTACCATCACCACCAACACGATCACCTCCTCCACTCCTCTTCCTACTCCTACAATCTCGCTAAGCCTGAGCGCAGCGCTGGGACCTGAGTTTAGGCCCTGAGTCTGTCTATGAAACGCTGAACCAGCAGGACGCGCAGCTCTCGTCATACCAGCATCAGCAGCTACAGGACCCACTAAGGCAGCTGCAGCAGCACACAGTTGTCACAGAATCCCAGCCATGCCAGCCTTTTCTGAACTGAACTATTATGGCCAAGGACAATTCCATCAAAGGCCTCTACTGTTCACATGCTGGGCTGCATACCTTTTCTGGAACTTTGCTTTAAAGCAATGCTGCCCTCTGTTGGTGTGATGGATTAAGGACAAGACCGCAATAAGATGCTATGAAAATGTCAAACATATTTTTGGATCAAAGCGGACTTTTCTCCCCAACAAGAACAATGACGCGTCTAAAGATCCAAGCTCCGTAGATTGGCCTGACTTGTCTTCATTTTAAAAGCTGGCCATGTTTTGTTGATCTTCTAAAGACTTGGACTCATTGCCAATGAACAAATGATGAACTGCTGATGAACTTTTTCTAAAGTTTTCTCCTCGCTCTGGATTGTGATTCAGAATTTCCCCTCCTGATTTTATCAATACCAACCAGAAATTGTGAACTCATGATTGTGCAAGATGAAAAAAAAACTGGCAATTTTGCATGGATTATAATCCTAATTTTTCTCTTAATGGAGTGTGGAAAAGAACCTCAGACTTTTAAATTCTGGACACTCATCTGGATATTTTCTGCCATGCTTGTTTCATGTCATGGAAGTGCACGCCTGCTTTTCCAAAAGACTTAAAAGTGACTCTTAGACCAACTATCAATCAGAAATACTGACCCCCGCTGAAAGTCAAATCAAGAGATCAGTTCCTGTCTGCTGACCATTCTGCACACTCAAACAAGCCCTGCCCATTCCTCTGCCTTGACTGATTGGATCCATGTTGCCTAGATACAGTGCACAATGACGTGCGGTGTGCCATAGTCGAGCCAGTAAGGAATCAGGTGTAAATGGTACCACGATATGACTTATTCCTATAATATACATTCAAATAGGATTATGCTGTGAACAATGTTATTGTTTTCTAAAGTCCCCTTTACACATACAAAAGTCCCCCATAGCCAACTTGTGTTTTACAATTTGGGGTTCATACAAATTTTAAAGATACATTTTATCATTACAATACCAACAGGTCTTGAGACATGCATTGAGGCTTTTCACCTCTGCTCATTGATTTTGCCTACTCCTACATATCACATGACAAGTAAAATATAAACAATTTGTAGCATGATGCAAGAACATTTGTATCTATATCTTTTCTTAAAATTAATTTGCTGCCAGTTCAGATTTACCGTTTGAGGTTCACTCAGACATTCTTTTACCAATTCAATTGGAGGAGGGTTTTGTATCATCATTGGTAAAAAAAAAAACAACAAAAAACCTAATAACAATAAAGAGTTGCAGTTGTTTCTATTGAACCCGGCTTAGACTCTGCTGACCGTGACATAACCTTCCTGATACTGACATTGGGGTCTATAGGGTTTGGTTCAGACTCTGGTTCAGTGCTGTACTGTCCTAAATGGTACAAAAGTAGATAAATTATACATTTTTATATATCCCCCATTTAACGTATTTTATGTCTTGACTGAATTTTAAACTGTTCCAGATAAAGTGTGTAGCCATTCGTTAATCTTAGCTTTGAGTAGAGGTGAAAACCAGAAATGTGTCCTCAGAATCTGAACGACCAGTAAACACAGATATGGTTAACTAAGAACCTCCAGGGCTCTTGTTACTCCCCTGACCCTCCCTCCTTCACTGTTCCTGCTTCACTCGTATCTGCTAATGTGTGAAATTTCAGGTTCTCATCTTGCCCCGCACCCGTGGGGTTTCTGTATGTTCTGTTTTTCTCTTTTTCCAGAGCACAACTCCGAAGGCTTTTGCTGCCCGCAAGATATCCTTGGCCAGTAAGTTATACAGATTTGTAATTTCTCCTCGGCTGGAACCATTGATCTATGTTAGTAACTGAATAGAGCCGGTCCCTGCTCTCTTGATGTTGTGGCCAAACTCCAGTACTGCACCCTCTGCGCCCAGAAGATTACCATAGACGCATCTACAGCTTTCATAAAGATTAGGAGGTTTTTTACTCTATTGCTATTGTGCTGAAATCTAATCACATGGTCAAGTTTTGTCATCTTTGTTGTCACAAAGACTTTTAGTCTCATTCATATTTAAAACATATTGGACCTTTTAATCTTCCAGATCTTCCTGGACCTTGGCAGAAAGATAAAATTATGTATATAATTAGCCCATCCACTTGCTCTGCTGGATTAGTTGATGGTCATGAGCCTACTTCATAAATACCCTATTGTATTGTAATTTTTGCACTGATTTAATTGTAGGCAAGATGTCCCCAGTGAGTACAGAACAAGGAGTGAGTGATGCTGACGCAGCTAATGCCGGGAGGAAGAGGAGATGGGGATCCAGTACAGCCACCACCGCGAAGAAGCCCTCCATCAGCATCACCACAGACTCACTCAAGGTATTTCAGATGACCACGTGTAGAGCCCCATGCCAAATATGTTTTCACATTGAACAAAAACAGAAGTAGGATAATCATATATTTTTTAATCTTGGTTAGACTATAAAATATTCTCAAAGCCTAGAAACAGACTTTGGGGGTTGGATTTCTCTCCTAGATGTTGACTTGTATTTCATGTGAATTATCCAATCCAATCCAATCTACTTTATTTCTATAGCACATTTAAACAACAGAACAGTTCCAAAGTGCTGCACAAAAAAAAATACACAAAAAATAGAATAAAAAATAAATAAATAAATAATCAATTTATAAAATCAATAAAAATCGTAAAACACTAAAAAATTAAAAAGACACAGGGACTACACAACTCACGCGGTGTTAAAAGCCAGAGAATAAAAGTGGGTTTTAAGACGAGATTTAAAACACTCCAATGTTGTGGCTGTTCGGACGTGGAGGGGCAGAGCGTTCCACAGCTTAGGGCCGACGACGGAGAACGCTCTGTCCCCTCGAGTTTTACGTTTCGTCTTAGGAACCACGAGCTGGAGCTGGCCCTCAGACCTCAGAGCGCGCGTTGGGGTGTAGACTTCAATGAGGTCTGCGACGTACTGAGGGGCCAGTCCGTTCAACGCTTTAAAAACAAACAACAAAACCTTAAAATCAATTCTAAATTTGACTGGAGGATTGGTGAAATGTGGTCACGCTTTTTAGCTCCAGTAATAAGTCGTGCAGCGGAGTTCTGGACTAACTGTAAGCGTGAGAGTGCATTTTGGGTAATGCCTGTATAAAGAGCATTACAGTAGTCCAGGCGTGACGAAATCAAAAGCATGCACGACTTGTTCAAAATGTTTAAAAGATAAAAACGGTTTGACTTTAGATAAAAGGCGAAGATGGTAAAAGCCTGACTTGACGACTGTATTAATCTGTTTAGTAAAATTAAAATCACTGTCCATGGTGATTTTAATTAGTTAATTAATTAGTTAATTAATTAGTCAATTATTTAATAAATATGGACTAAACTACAGTTATCAGTTTGTGCTTTAAGTACGACTGTGTAGTGGGACCTAGTTCAGGGTTGATAAAATGATATTGGTTGATTGACCCCTAACTTTATATTTTCTGCAAGTTTAGCTTAGTATTTGACAATTTAACCTTTTGATTTTCACTTAACGTTGCATTAAAATTCAGTAGATTTAGACATGTTTTTATTTTTGTTTAATTATACATTGAACTTTGTATTATTGTTATTATTGTATTATGTATTATTTTGTTTTATAATACATAATACGTATGTCTTCCTCCAGTCTTTAATCCCTGACATCAAAGTCAATCAAGAGGCTGTGGTGGATCTTCCTGCTGAGGAGTTGCAGTATTCTGGAGATGAAGACACTGTGGACAGCACCCACGATGACCCGGACAACGGGCTAAAGATTCAGCGCACTGTCACACAGGCAAGACCAATGCCTCACATGTTCCTTTATACTTGGTTACTGATCATTCTATTTATGTCATCTGCAGGTAGTTTCAAGTGATGGTCAGAAGAATGGAGGAAATGAGGAGAATGAAGGTGAAAAAATAGATGTAGAAAAGCCCCTCAGAGTGTCCAAAGACAGAAGAAAAAGTAGCGTGTCTGAAGAGACCACAGAGTCCGCAACATCCCCAGTAGTTGCAGAGGCCAAGAAAGGTGAAGTGTTGTACCCATTGTATTTCATAAACCATTACCTTAACTTTCTAACTTTTCATAATATTTTCTTGTAGTTTCTCCCAGCGACACCCTGGTACGCAGATCCATCAGTCAGCAGAAGTCCGGAGTGTCTGTCACGATTGACGACCCTATCCGCTCAAATAGACAGCCATCGCCGCCACGTGGAAAAGTCTCCACTATCATCCACGTGACCAATTTAGTGAGTTGTTTGGTCTTCGGTTTTGGGGAACCAGATTTCTAGCTGCACAGTGCCAAAAATGAAGCGTGGATGAGTGAAAGAGCTTGTTGCAGGATAAAATACATTCCAATTATGACTTGTTTCTTCTCAGTCCTTTTTAATATATTTTCTTTTACATGGGAAATCCAGCTTTGAACGACAATGATTGGTTGACTATTTTGAGTGACGGCACAAAATAAAATCACAGAATTCCAAATTTACAAACGTGCATTTACAAATGGATTACGGGATTTGCCAGCACTTTCTGAGCTTTTTTTACCCCTAAGCTGATGCTGGCTACATCGCAGCTTCTGTGTAAAAAAATATATCAAATAGTCTTTGCCCTTTTTGTTATATTGAATGATTTCATAAAACTGACCCCAACACTTCTAAATTTCATGGCGAGAACGAAAACCCTGTGAATGTTTTTAGTTGCTGCTTTATTTATGTTACTAGGCTCTCAAAAGCAACCCTTAGCATAAAGGCCAATTCATACTGGTCATTCAACACTCTGCTTTGTCAACTTTGAGGTTCTGAGTGTTTTCTGTTTCTTGTAGGTTCGGCCATTTACAGTCGGTCAACTTAAAGAGCTGTTAAGTCAAACTGGAAATATGGTGGAGGAAGGCTTCTGGATCGATAAGATCAAATCCCACTGTTATGTCACAGTAAGTTTGTGCTTAGGTTTCTATTCTATCTTTTTATTTTTGGCTCAATGACATATGTAATCTTTGTCTATTCAGTATTCTACAGAAGAAGAAGCAGTTTCTACCAGAAATGCTCTTCATGGAGTAAAATGGCCTCAGAGCAATCCCAAAGTCCTCAGTGTGGATTTCAGTGAACAGGATGAGGTATTGCAAACATTTCTCTACTATCACTACACACCACTTTAACCTTTTTAAAGATGTTTTTAAAAGCGAGAGTACTTATTTTTCATGAGTTTTAGATTGGTTGTATGACTGAATTTATCTCTAAATAGGAAGTTGTTGAAAAAAGAAACATCCTATTGCTTGACATATCGATGCATACTTTACTTGGTTGACTTCTCGCTAAATTACTCCCAATGTACATTGCACTAATGCTTTTTACAATGGTTCTGCCTCCAGTTGGACTTTCACAAAGGCATTCTAAAACCTAAAAAGGAGCCAGAGCTTAGCACCTCAGTGACCGTTGCACCCCCGCCTCACCGACTACCCCCACTCATGCCGGAGCGAGATCGGGAGAGAGACCGAGACAGAGTGCGCGACAGAGACCCTGACAGAGGCCTGGGCGTGGTCCGGGACCTGTGGGCAGAGCGGCAGCGGGAGATGGAGAGGCGAGAGCGAGCCAGAGGAGAGAGGGAATGGGACCGCGACAAGATCCGGGAGTTTGCTCGACCAGGAGAAGACGCACGGAGATCGAGATCCAGAGAACGAGAACGCAGGAGGCGAGAGCGTGCAAAGAGCAAGGAGAGGAAGACTGACAAGAAGGGTATGAGAACATGCCTTGTGTATATCCAGTGAGCATACAGTTCTTTACTTTCAATGTGGGATGTTTTACAGAAAAGGGAGACGAGCCTCCAGCTAAACTTCTTGATGACTTGTTCTTGAAAACCAAAGCTGCTCCATGTATATACTGGCTCCCACTCACCGAAGAGCAGGTCAGTACTTTAACTGTATGAAAATAACTCCTTGTTGTTGCATGAGAAACAGAGGACTCGATACCTGAGTGCATGTGTCTCATTTCTTTCTTGGATGTTGAACTTGTAAAGATCAGTGTTACAATCATTGAATGAAAACGATCACCTTTGTGTTTCTCCAACAGGCAGCGCAACGGGTTCTGGCCCGCACCGAGCGCAAAAAAGAACGTGAGCGCATTCGTAAAGAGATGGAGGAGGAGGACAAGAAGCGCGAGGAGGACAAGAAACGAGAGCGGCTGAAGGTTCGAGAGAAGGAGGGTGGTCCGGCTGTGGGCGCAGCAGCTCGCCGTGTGTCTGAAGGAGAACGAGGCCGAGAGGGAGACCACAGGCGAGACAGCGGCCGTGGGCCTCGCCGACTCTCAGCCGGAAACCCACAACGCTCACACAGCAGGAGCAACCCCAGGGAGCGGCGGCGCTGACTGGTGCAGCTTTAGAGCAAAGGAGTTCATGGGGCACATAAGCAGGTGGTCTGAACGGTGGGGGTCTCCTCACAACATGTACTCTTGATTAGTCCATCTCAAAGCTGCTATGGTCTTCCAAACACGGCACCACCTCACCCAGGCCACTACCCATGGACTCCTTGTTTGTCGGAAGTGGCTCCTGTCTTCTTGCTGCACATTATCGTCTTTGTCCTGTAGAGAGCAGTGTTCCTCCTTCGGTTCCATGTTGATTTTTCTCCAGTCAAGTTGCCCTACTTTATTGTTTAACAGAGGTTAAGGCTTGACCATTTTAGTTCCATGGGCACAAATTTAAAAATAAATCCTGTACATTTTTGTAATACATTAGTTTTTATTGTTCAGCACTGAAATTTATTTTACAAATGTTATTTTTAATCATGTTTTGTTTGAAGCAAAGATTTTTATTCAAATCTGATTAGATCTAAGACCAAGACATAATGTTCAAACTCTTATTACTCCTGGAGACATGAATTCTTTCCAATTGAAGGGTGTAATGTTACGACTGTTGACCTCAGCAATGAGGTCATTTCCTAATCATAAATGGAACGTTTGTCTAAGAGTTATGGTTAATAATTTCAGTTTTGCTTTGTTGAATTTTAAGTGCTGAATGTATTGAATTTAAATGAATAAATGGAAATGTTATCTTGACAGTTTTGTATCAACGATACAAGGAAGCACTTTATTACTACATACAGAAATTACAGTGATTCTCAAGTTTATGAATTTACATTGTTACATTAAGTGCAAAAGTTTTGCTAATAAGTATTTACAACAAATTCCCTTGTTCTTCTACAGCAAACAGCCACCTCAGGGTTGGGAGTTAATGAACAGTAGTTTAGTCCCATTCCCTTTAATGGTACAGTAATAGAATAATTACAGCAGGCAGAGCATCTGTCCATGAAGCTGGTGCAACCAGCTGAAATGTCTTAAACAGCAGTTTGATTTTGTAAGTTGTAACAAAAAGAAATGTTAAGACCAGCTTAGACACATCCACAGTTGATCAGTGTGCGTTGGGAGGAGGAATGTTCTGAGGGACGCAGACTCTGCTCATGTGGCAGGAGTGGCACAGCAGATGTGAGTCCAGCGGGAAGCACTGGGAGCCAGGTTTATCAGAGAGCTGCTTACCACACTCCTGTGGAAGAGAAACGTGAGGTCATATGGCTGAAGGCAACAGCGAGTCACTGGCTGAATCTGGGTGGTTTTAAATTATAGCCATGAGCTCCAATAGCCTAATGCCGTGGCGAGTCTCATTTGAGGCTTCCTCTTCTGTCAGTTCCCACTTCTATTTTAATCGGCATAAATTCAAAACTGATTTTTTTTTTCAAGATTGGCAAATACTTGACAATATTATATTCAACAATCTAGTTATGGTTTTGAGTTAAAAGTAGTTAATGTGGTTATGGTTTTGGGAAAGGTGCAGGTCCCTGGTCTAAACGTCCTTGTGAAATATACCACAACAGGAAGTATTTTGTTCAGTTGGGCAACTGAGAGTAAACCTTTTTCTATGTTAACAATATACTGCAATTTCATGTAAATTAATGAATCTTTTATACTATAGGTAAGTCTTTCTCTAAAATGTTGACTCTTGACCAAAACAAACCCCATTAACATGATTTTAGTCCCTTTGACTCACCTCACAGTGGTAGCACTCAAAGTGATAGTCCTTGTTCATGGACACAACCCTGAGGATCTCTTCACTGCCCTGTGACAGAAAAGCAGCAAAGAAGACCAAAAATGAAAATGTCCGTTATATAATTAGGAACGGAAAGGTAATCGGACAAACTAGCCAAAAAAAGCCGTATCAGACTAACCTCAGACGGTAAGATGGGTTGTAAACAGGCAGCACACTTTGGCGCGAACGTTCTGCAAAGTTCAGATTCAGTTGATTTGCCATTTGCAGTAAAACCACATTGGACAAACTGTGCAAGACTACCCCAGTGCGCACCAGGCACACACCAGAGCTCTTGCCATGAGAAATACCAACAACTAAAGCACAGGAATCTACATCAAAACTACGAAGTAATGAAGTCGTACTTGTTGTAATCTGCCACACAGTAGATGTTGCTGTGTTGATCCACGGTGAAAGGAACGCCGTCCAGAGCCTTGGAGCAAACCACGCAGCGGAAACAACCAGGATGGTATGAGTTTCCAAGAGCCTGCAGGATCTGAGACCAAACACCAACAAGATTATCCTTTAGATAAAAGACATTCCTTATTACGTCTGGAATTCTAGATTATGCCCTCGCAGACGAAAAGCACACTGCGAGGTGTTTCTGTATGAAATGTGCTATATAAATTAACGACATGGAGTTAGCTGTATTAACTTGTTATCATGTTTCGACTGCATTAACAAGGAAATACATCCAACTTGTCTTTCAAAAGAACCAAAAAAGAGAAGCATTTTAACGCAAGATAAAATTTACGCTTTTGAACCTAACTAATTCTCCTGACTTTTTGAAAGCACTTATAAAGCACAGTTCAGAGCTTTATATAAATTGGGGACAAACATTCCAGCAAAAAAAAATCTATCGTGGGAACCCAATGAGGAGCCAACAACAATGTCAACTCTCCGCTGGGAATTCTTAACTGGGAAATGGCTCGGAGTCTGTGATTCTTGGGTTGCTTATAAGTTTGTGATGTACTCAAATGGTTTGGTACATACTGTATATCAAGTGCATGAGTTTCTAGGTCTCACCTGTTCAAGAATAAGGTGACCACACACACTACACTTCTCTGCAGCCGCTTGGAATCCCGAAAACTGTAATTAAAACGAATTAGAGCGACGTGTGAATAAGTCACTGACAAAACATTTTGACCTCATCCCTTACCATGTAATCCTCTTTACAGTACACAGAGCCGTTGACATTGTAGAAGTCCTTGTTTCTCAAGGTTCGTCCTGTGAAATAAACAGGATTTAGGAAATAAACCAGACTGCAAGATAGACAAGGCACAATAAGACAAGATTTTACATTTTCTAATTTTATTATATAGCAATAGTATAAGTATTTGTATAATGTGTAGTGAAATGAAGAGTTAACTGAGATAAAACACAGCAGATGTCCCTTGGGGACAATTGAGTTTGTGATTCAGTGCTGCACAGAGCTGCGTGAAAAAAACTAAACAAAAATGTACTTAAACAACAAAAGTACAGTGGTGCTTTGAGGTTTCTGTTTAGTTCAATTCAATCACTCAAATAGGTCATTGATCAAAAATAAAAAGTCCATAGTTCATCCATCTTTTTCCTTGTTTCATTTGTTTTCAGTTTTAGGATGTATTCATTATCAAGTATTCTTATGTGAGAGGGCCTCTGAGGCTGGGACGACGGAGAACTTGGGTACACCTATAATCAAATGTAACGACAAAAGCAAAAGTCCCTGCACTTCTCCAGAACAGTGAGTTTAAGTATAGTGTTTGGCTGTGTTTCTGGGAGCTCTCACCACAGGAGACGCAGGTGAAGCAGCGAGTGTGGTACAGACTTTCCAGAGCTTGGCAGGCGTTGTCGGCCCCATACACTCCTTTCCCACACTTCACACAAGTCCCTGCCGACACAAAGAAAAAACACAAACAGGCATTAAGTCGAGAAATCGCTCTGCGGCTCTTAGCACTTTGTTTACAACACATTCCTGAAGGATGTGTCTGAAATCCAACTCTACACTAAGTGTCAGCACTTGTAAATCCTCTCTTTCGCACCACCTTAGGGATTTTCACACAGTCGGAGCGCGGTTACCCATGCACGCTTGTCATCAAAGGGGAAACCCAACATCAGAAGACTTTTCACATTGATACAAGTGTGTGTTCTAGGAGAGAATTATATACAGCCAATATTTTCTAATCATTTATGAATGAATAAAACCTATTTTTAGTCCCACAGTGGCAATAATTTGCTTGAGGACTAGACAGATATTCTGCTGCCACTTAAAGCGTGTAGTTTGTGTGTCTACCATCTAACCAACTTATATGACATAATCTTTTGCTTTTAACAGGAGAAAAAAATAACAATTTGAGCATCATGATAAATTCACACAAGAGAATCATTGTCTTTAGTTTCCCATAACACATAACGACTGCATCAAGCTAATTATCAAACATGTCATAGATTATAAACTAAAATTGATGTTCAACTTCAGTTAGAACTAAACATGTTCATCTTTTCATCTCTTAAGCAAAGTGTTGGATAGACCATTTCAGTTCATCCCAAGTCAGTTGCTTCTAATGTGGCTGCAGCGGTGGTTTACGACTGCCCGGCTCTTGGACAGTGGCCCTCAGTCCGCAGCCAAAAACCAGAACCCGAGAGGCAGGACTCCGTTGTCTGTAAATATACTGCTGGAGCTGCTGCATATAGAATGAAGGCTTGGAAAGAACAGGGCCGGGACCACTTCCAGGGACTTTTTAGGAGTTTAAACTCTTGCTCTTGGGAGGAATCTTCTAAGTTAGAGGTGCTATGCAAAGTTAGAGATTTTATACTTACTTCTTTATTGTGCTCAAGTCAGAGATTTCATACCCAATTCTTGATCTTCATTATGCTAAAGTTGGAGATTTTATACTTGCTTCTCTATTACACTAAAAAGGTAGAGATTTCATTTTACTTTACTAATGACTTTTTGTTCTTTTATCTTGTGTGCTCCTCATCCCTGTTCTGTAACTGGTGAGCAACACTGAAATATCCCCATTGTGGCACGAATAAAAGATCTCTTAATCTTAAAAGAAAGAACCCTTCTTAACCAACACAAAGTGATTTTCTTCATCACATTTGAAGTATTTCGGCCTTTCATCCCTTTCATTTCAGAAGCTTACATTATTAATTTCCGTATTCGTTGAAAAAAAGAATTACATTTTACGCTCGACACGTCTCACAGCTCAAAGCATCTCACTTCAGCCTAATGTCTAATGGAGATCTGAGTACAGTATTGCATGTCCCCTCCGGGCATGCATACCTGAGCAGAAAAACAGGCTACAGCACACCGCCCATGCACACGCCACAGCAGCGGCATTACAGACTTAAATACACAGACACACTGCGTTACTGTGGCCTGAAGTCACTCCGCCGAAACACGCCCTGCCGCAAAGAAACAATATACACATCACACAGCAGCCAGTCACTAATCTGCAGTGAGTCAGAGGAGGCTGAGGCTGCACTTATCTACAGACATGTCATTTGCGTTTGCGCTCGATTCTGCAGTTTAAAACCATATGAAATCTCTCATGAGGCAAATTGAGCACATCCACATTGGCTTGACTTTACGTGAATGCAGAGTAGATGCTGCCTCTTAACCTGAACTTGTTCTGATTGGTTTCAAAGACCTAAGCATTTTTCTCTTCTCTTTTTGCTTGCTTCTGCGTGCTGTGATCCAGCATGTCTCTGCAAGTTCCAAGGCACTAGTCAACCATGCATACAGTATTTCAGCTATTAATTTGTTCATCCATGCTTGCATCCAGCCATTGTACCCTTTCATTTGGGGAGAAACCTGTGATCTGACACGAAGCAGTGAGCAGGTCCGTAATAACACAGCCTGCAGTCTTGGGACAGTTAGAAAGCATGAGATGCCGAGTGTCAACAGTAAAAGGAGTTAAATGCTGTTATGAGGAACTTACACTGCAAACTTTCCGCTGAATATTCAAGTCAATGTGGACGGGTAGTTAAAGGAACAAAGGAGTTCTCACCTGCAGAAAGTCATAGACTTTCTGCAGGTGAGAACTCATCAGCAAGTTTCCATCATAAAAATAAACGTTAAAACCAGGATTCTTTCTGGTTTTAACTAATGTCCCTGGTTTAGTCAAATTCCCTTTAGATTAAAGCAGTTTAAATCATTTTGGTAATGTAAATGTTTAGGGACATGATATTATAGGACAAAGCCTCACCAAAGTACTCTTGTCGATTCTCTGTCCCCTCTCTAGCCCCCGTGGAGCCTGGATCCTCTGGGGCTTTGGCTGGAACTGCAGTGGAGGCCTGTGTTACACTTGGCTTGGAAATAGCAGGAGGACATTGCTCCATTTTCAGTGAACCTGAGGGCCCCTCTCTTTCCAACACAGCATCTCGGATCAAGAGTCTAGTTAGCTCCTCTTGATATCTTGTCCCTGGTTGGTCAGAGAAGCGATCCCTCTCCCTAAGCCCTTCTTTGCCCTGAATCTCATCCCACCACTCTGGACCAGTCTGGTAACACACAGCAGCTGGACTGCCAACAGCAGGAGGGTACGAATGCCGACTGTCCTGACTGCTGGGGGGAACTCCTGCATCTAGGTACTGACTCCAGGCCTCAACAGGCGTCATACCAGGTCGACCTGGGGGTCCATATCCACACACAGAGCCGGTGGGTACAGAAGGGGACTGCTGTGGGCCAGGCCCACCAGAGGAAGAGTAGCGCGAGTCGTAGCCGAGGCTGATGCCACTAGTTCTGTTACTGCTGCAGCGGCTGCCCATGGGGCTGCCCCCACCACCGCCACTTGCTGTGCTGGATGCAAAACTGGATCTTGGGCTGACCAGCACAGACTCCTGAAGGCTCAGAGAGGAGTAGGGGCTGAGTGCTTGTCCTGACGGATAGAAAAAGCCCCCTCCAACACCGCCGCTCACCTCAGACAGCCGCTGTGGCGGATGAGACAGGGACGCCGGCCTTGTGCTTTCCCATAGGTCACTGCCAGTGCTTAGTCGTTTATAGAAAAGAGCCTCTTGTAACGAAAAGCGCTTGTGCCGCTCAGGCTCAGGGAGATATCCCATCTCTCCCAGGCTCCTGGGGGATGAGCTGTATCCAGAGGTGGAGGGGTGCACTGGGGGCACAGACAGAGGAGGAGGCTGGGACAAGTATTGCTGCCTCATGACCAACTGCTGAAGCTCCAGGGAGTAGCGTCTTTGATTTAGTGATGCCTTTGAGCCTAAAGGGTCACACTCTGGGCCTAAACCAGACTCCCGTCTCATGTGAGAATCAACACCTTCGCCCAGGTAACAAGAGGCCCGCTGCTGTGGGGAGCGCCGCCTCACTTGTGCCAGGGTACAGGGGTGCAGCGATGGCTCGGTGTCCAGAGGCAAGGTGGTGGTGCTCTGTGAAGGAGTCATGAGCTGAGGGGGTCCTCTGGCCACAGGGACAGAGGAGTCAGTGGTCATTCCAGGGGGCAAAGAAAACTGTCCTGGTCTAGAGGGTGAGGCGCTCGGAGCTGAGGGCAGGGAGATGCCCGTGGACACAGTGTTGGCGTTACTGTTGTTTGAGTTGCTGCTTGAGTCATGCTTCTTCTTTGAACTGTTGAATTTCACACTGCCAGAGTCTGTTAGCTTCAATTTCTCCAATAACTTGCTTATTGGCCTGTCCATAGTGACACTTAGTGGTATGTCTCGTTTATAAGAGATTTCCTCAAATATAGGTTTAAATTGTATTCAATTTTACAGGAGTAAAAACTGGCCTTGAAATGTATTCAAAACAACTGAGAATAAATACAAAAGTATAAATAAAAGACTTCAAAGACATACATTGAGTGGATACATGGCAAGTCCTCTCATTTGCTTGGCCTCATGTGGTATACACACAGACTCAGGTAGACTTTGTTGGCGAGTCCATTATAAGCCAATTTTTGCAGCTCAAGTCAGTTCCTTCAAGCGGCACTTTCCGTGACCTATGGTCGCAGAGGGCCTCCTTGGTGGGCCCTCGCGTGGATCCACGATTGCATTTTAGTAAAGTTGTCCAGTTCAACATGCAGTTCTAAGATATTTTCATTGGTGTCTGTGCTCAGTGCCGCGTTATGTCTCGACGTGGGGACGTCCTTTAAAAACACAAAGCGGCTGCGCTCTTCATGTGGGTCCAGTGTAGACAGGGATATTCAATAGTCTGACTCACCACTCGTCTACCATTCATCTCAGAGCCAGCAGTGCTTGTAAAAAGTAAATATACTTAAATGAACTGGGTGAAAATCAGGCGTTGAGCTCCGTGTCCATTCGTCCGGGGGCTGTGTGATCATTCCCGTTTTTCAAAGCACAAATCTTGCCCGCGTCTGTAACTCGCTCTCACAGCAGCGGAAAAGTTTTGCGGATAGCAGCTGTACAGTGGACAGAGCGCTCTTCACAAAAACAAACCCGAGTGAGAAGCATCCGTTAAGAAAAATCCCTTCCCGTGTGTCTCGCTCCCTCGACAACTTTGTTTCTTTCTTTCTTCCCCCTAAATAATTACTTACCTCCCCCTCTTTCCAATATGGTCAAGGGAGTCTTGAGAGTAACACATCCGGTTTAGCTCTTTCAAAATAAATGTGTCCACTCTGCTTAAAAAAGGTGCATAGAGTAGTTTGTACTAGTTTTTCTAATTCTTTACACAGTGTGTGTGTATTAGAGCACCCATAAAACCACAATGTGTATATTCATGACGATCATTTATCTTACTAGCGGCACATGTTACAATCTACTACCTCTGAATCAAATGTATTTCATAACAGACTTTTTTTTGAAACATGTCCCGTTTCATGTAGTTCACCTTCATCAAAGATACAACGACGACATTGCCAGTGTGGCTTCAAACACATGCATAGTTTCCTCTAAACGTTGGGTTTATTATGGAAGCACTTCCGGCTTCCTGCACATCTCGTTACCTCATGGTCACCTTGACAACTGATGTGTGCTCTTTATGTTGGAGCGGCCGGGACACCTTTCTCTGTTTCGTCATTCATACACCACACTCTCCGCCAGAACCTGCCTTGTTCAAATTCATTATTCTACCTGTGGAAACTTGTGCTAAAATGTAGCATTATACATAGTCCTTTAGTAGGCTAAATGACTATGACCCCTTATAGTACTTATAGTCATTTAGTAGGCGAGGTAAATCTATATATGTTATTGGTTAAACAAGCCTGGTTGTATGTTTATTATTGGCATGGTTTGTCAATTAAGGTAATCGTTTATGTATTTAATAAATACATACAAAAACTCATTGTCAATGGTGTTTACAGATCTCACATGTAATCATTACATTGGTGGTAAAACTAAAATAATTCATGTTAGTTGAGAAAAACAATATTATAAACTGGTTTACAAATAGTTGTAATGATATAATGAATGTCATGTCACTGCCGAAAAGCATTATACATCCACAATATGCTTATGAAAGGCTGTGAACAAGGGTTATCGTCAAACAGGGGTCGCTCAGGCAACGGGACTATTTTGTTGTACCACCAGCCTGTGGAATGTGCGGAGGAACACCGGCGTGTGCTGCGGCTTGTGGATTTTTTCGGTGAGTGTGAGTTCTCCAAGGACGATACAGAGTAAACATCACACACTGATCTTAAACTATTGCAGCCGTTACCCGTGACCATCCAGTCTGACCGCTTAGAGCTGCATGATGAAAAACACCTTGACCCGCCTTGATAAAACACGGGCCTGGTGTGGTAACTCCGTGGGCCCTCTGTGTTGCTTGGAAGCCCCCCGCCTCTTCCATGGCCTTGTGGTTCAGTAAAGTCACACATGTCAGCTTCTGCAAACCATAGCGTTTATCTCACGGCTGGCTGCGAGTGTCAACATGTCCACCAAGCCAACACAAAGATACTTCCACTTCTTACATATTTTAGTACGTGCATAGACTTCAATAGTGTATGAAGAAAATGGGAAGTCCTAAGCCAACATACGTCTAAAGGCAAGAGATCAAGGTCCACTGCTCTTCAATAACACTTAAAGCTGTGGTACATTCACTTTTGGTGTTTGTGCCAACATAAAGATTCTTGTAAAAGTAACATTTAGTGAACAAGTCATACCCCAGCATGTTGTCTTCATCCTATTCGAAAAAAACGTGCATACTTGGAAGTAAGATCTCTGTGAATAGTTGACTCTATGGGCTGAGACCTGATTGGCTGAGTGAGGGCGATCCTCTCTTTTTTATTTTTCTGTCTGAAAAAGCTGATCTGATCAGAGGCCAAAAATGCATACATGTGAAGACTAGTTCTAGAAACCACATGTTAAATAGAAAGTGAATAACGAGTGGATTGTATTGCATCCATTATGTTAGGTACTAAATAAGAGAGGCATCCATTGTTTAAACACGGGGAAAATATGACTATGTATAGAAAGATCTTAACTGTAGTACTTTATATTTACAGCATTTGTTACACGCTAGTGTTGTTATTATGATGATGACTTTTTATAATTATTACAATTATTACTATTATTATTATTATTATTATTACAGGTAGTATTAAGGTTAGTAGTACTCGTATTATTACTATTTACATTCACATAAAAAAAGATATATGTCACAAATACCGCTGCATCATTATGTCAGTCGTATTTTCGTGTGTTTCTAGTGCCCTCTGCCGGACAGTAGTTGACAGTGCAGACATCATGGCGGCTCCCTTTACGACACTGTGCGTTTCAGGTGAGCCCGAGGTTATCTTCTGTGTATGCTGTTTGCACTTTTTATTTGTGTCATATAAATTGAGTTTATATAAATTGAGTTTATACAAATCGTGAACGCATTTTAGTGTTTCCATTTGTTCTGGAAGTCCTCGAGGTTGTTGGACCTGCATAAATACACGTAGCTATCACTGATGCTAACAGCGCGTGCGTTTGTTATCCTGTTTAACGCCATGGATATTAGATTATATGTGTGTAGATTATAGTTCAATGTTTATTACTGAGTGATAATCCTGCTGGTTGTTTTGTTTCAGTTCTGAGACACGGCAGAAGACATCTGACCACAACATGCAACCTACAGGCTGGACAAAAATTCAGGAGAGAGTACGTTGATTTCAGAACAGAATACCTTCTCTAAATTATTGAAAGGGAATAGATTCAGAATTGATATATTACTAAAGCTGCGGTACTTTTCAAATACAAAAATAACTATGTATAACTAAAACTCCATCTAACTCAGGCTTGTCCAAACTACAGCCCACTGCCCAATTTGTGGTCCTCTGACAGTCTTTGAGATCATAAACACAAGTACACGTTGTCATCCAGCCGACTTCACCTCTGCCCGTAGACATGCTGTACCTCATCGGAAAGCTATATTTTTCTAATATGGAGTTGTGCTAATGGACTCACTTATCTTGTGTTGTGTGCTCTTCATTCCTACCTGTCTTTAACTTGTGATGTAACACTGCAATCTCACCACTGTAGGACAAATGGAGGATCTTTAAATCTTAATCTTAAACAGATAAGTGAAATAGAGAGGAGTGCTCTTGCTCTCAGCACAGACCATTAAACGATGACTCACAAGACACTTGCAAAAGATAAATTATTTTCTAAAACTACAGTTACATTTTGTACACAGCTCTTTCTGTCTGGGCAATGACAATTATTCATGAAGTGAAAAAAGGTGACCCAGCTTTAATGTGCGACTTTTTGAGTGAATGAGGGAATCATTTAACATACACCACACATTTTATTCTTATCCGTTTTCGCTTTTAATAATTTCAGAAATGGACTTTCACGCACCGGCTCTGAGTTCGGACCCCTTACAGATCTTCCAGACTGGTCTTTTGCAGGTGACTTTGTCCTCTGATTTATGCAGAATGTGTACGTCAGGTGATCTTAGCCTAACTCTATAAACGTATGTCCCCAGATGGCAGACCAGCTCCTCCACTGAAAGGCCATCTAAGGAGAAGGCAGGAAAGAGAAACCCAAGCTGTACGTAGAAAGTTGTCATTTTCAAACAATTTTGTGCGTTGAGTTGAGTCTTGATCTCTGTTGTGTTTTTCTCAGAGACGTATTGCGATGCTGAGCTCGGAGATGGACGGAGGGGTCGAGGCGTGGGCACAGAAACAGGAAGAGGCCAAGCGACTGGAGGAGCACAGGAAGTCTCAGTTACTCAAACCTAAAGGCAGACTATTGAAGGAGACGGATTAAAATATTAGGATTTACATTTGTGTAGTTAGTCTGTCCGCTGAATAAAGTCTATTTATACACATTTGCCAAGGCATTGATTACTCACTGTTACTAAACCATATCCATACATCACAACAGAAACCCAAAGCTAAAAGTAATCTTAGTTTGTGCTTTGTTATAGTGATTAAAACATATTATTTGTCTGATGCTTGAATGTGTGAGTACAACTCTACACAGTTTTTATACAGCAGTTTGGAGATTTAGTCCTTTAATATCATTTTACTTCCACTAGGATGCAGCATTTCTACAACAGCAAAGACTCGGGTCCTAAACGCCATTTTGTCTGGTGCCTCACAGTGGAGTGTTGAGCAAGCAGAGGAAGGGAGGAGCTGGACAGAATAAAGTCCCTCTGATTCAGCTGAGTGGGATCATGGTTTTAAGTCTCATCAAATAAGGTTTTTCAAAAGTGATGACTGATGCTGTAGTAAAGACCACCTGTACGAAGGCTACAGTACGGTGCAGTCAGATCAGGTTATACACACAGCACCAGAAATGTATAGTTTTCACATTATATAAACTCGTTCATAACTGGCATTCTCTGCTGCTTTGTAGGAAATATCTTAACAAAATTCAAATGAAGAAATAGTACAATGTTATTGGTACATATTTCCAGGAACAGCGGTTGAGAAATAGCATTTTTCCACAAATAGAGGAACAATTGTCACAGGATTATGACTCAGATAGATGTGAGTGATGCCAGAGCCCCAAGTCTATAATTGTATTTTATATTAATTCAATTCAATTTAATCTTGTTTAGCCCTAAATCACATCAGTAGTTAACGCTGACTCTACAAAACCGTCAAATTTGCCAACACAGATCAGAGAATCAGACGGTTCAAACACAAGAAAAAACACATAGACATTGGTCGATAAGAGGCAGAGACCAATGTCCATAAATGTTAAGTGTCCTGGATCATCCCATTGGGTTATTTTTGGGGGTTTTTTCGTTTTTTTTAGGAAAAACTCTTTAAAAAAAAAATACAAGGTGAGAAACAATTATAGGTTCATTCAAGAGATGATAAAAAAGTTTTGTTTTAATGTTAAACATGACTGGATATGAATAGTTGTTTCTAGTTGTGTTACTCACCAACATAAATGTTACACTATGAAGTTCAAATACAACTTTGAGACGAGAAAATTATATATTTTTTCATCTGTGTTTTACTAAAATACAGCTATGCGCATGAGTTTACATACTGTGGCATACTTGTTTTTTTCCACTCCTGGTTAGTGGTAGTCTAGCCTTTGCCATCCGTAAACTCCGGTCAATGATTATTTCCCTACAATGAAATTAGTACCGGGGTGTGGTAAGGCCAGGCTAGGTTAGTGGTTGTGTGAAGCCAATAATTGTCATGGTTGTTGACCTTTCCTCGCCCTTCAAAACTTGACTGTAATGATGTGAGCCCAAAAGCAGCAAGGCTTGTCAACTTTTTTGGCATTATTATCTAAAAATATTAAACACATTCATAAAAAATGGCTTCATCCAACCACCATCACAAAGGTTTGTTGTTTTGTTTGATATTTGGCAAACGGCTTTGACAGCATAAACATAGCCAGGATATGTAAACTTATGAGCATAAGTTTCACAGCATAAGTTCCTAGAAACCACGACCAACTACTTCATTCCAGTAACACTTGACAGTAAAACTAAACATTTCTTGAACACTGAGTAAACAAGAAATAACGTAGAATATATTTATAATCTTGAGGCACAGAGTCACATCTATCCAAGTCATAATCATGTAGTGACAGATTAAGGTCCCTGTACATATGTGCCAATGATGATGTATTATCGCTTATTTGGCAACAAAGGTCCTGGGTTTGACTCCACCTCCAGACAGGGAGTCTATGTGGAGTTTGCATGTTCTCCTCGTGTCTGTCTTCCCCTACCCCTAGCTGTATATGGTGACCCTGCGCCCATTACTCTGTGGAGTGAGAGGACTATACAACAATCTTAAAGGTGCTATATGAATATTCTTTTTGTACAATTATCCTTTTGTTAGTTTCTCTCAGTCCACTGTCTCTCTGTCCTCAGTCTCTCAGTCTCTCAGTCCTCAGTGTCTCTGTCCTCAGTCTCTCAGTCTCTCAGTCCTCAGTCTCTCAGTCTTTCTGTCCTCAGTCTCTCAGTCTCTCAGTCTCTCAGTCCTCAGTCTCTCAGTCCTCAGTCTCTCAGTCTCTCAGTCTCCTCAGTCTCTCAGTCTCTCAGTCTCTCAGTCTCTCAGTCTCTCAGTCCTCAGTCTCAGTCCTCAGTCTCTCAGTCTCTCAGTCTCTCTCTCAGTCTCTCAGTCTCTCAGTCTCTCAGTCTCTCAGTCCTCAGTCTCTCAGTCTCTCAGTCTCTCTCAGTCTCTCAGTCTCTCAGTCCTCAGTCTCTCAGTCCTCAGTCTCTCAGTCTCTCAGTCCTCAGTCTCTCAGTCTCTCAGTCTCTCAGTCCTCAGTCTCTCAGTCTCTCAGTCCTCAGTCTCTCAGTCTCTCAGTCCTCAGTCTCTCAGTCTCTCAGTCCTCAGTCTCTCAGTCTCTGCCCTCGCTCCCCCTCCATGAGCCAGGCTCTTGTTGCAGACTTCAGCAAAGCCTCACTGTAATTAAGGCCACTGCAGCCGCTGAGTTGCAGATTCTTTCTGTGGAAATGGGAGGGTTTTTTTCCCTTTCGCCCCATTCTTTGTCTTTTTACAGTGTTAAGAGCTGAATGTTTGTTGTCTTAAAGGGGTGTAGTTTGAACTAGCTGCAGGTGCTCAGGTGTGAAAAAGCCTTATACAATAAAAGTTAGATTTATTAGCCTTCTTACTAAGGGCCTGCAGGACCAAATGGAAGGCATGCTTAGAAGTAGAGCTTTAGAGTTTCTGATTTAACTTCCTTAAATAGTCTAAAATAGTTAATATATTTCTCACTAACACACTACTTATAATTACCAGTACATTTACAAGCTTAAATGCAATGAGCTACTCCGACTTGTTGAAGCCCAACCACATCCCAGTGATATGTCGACCCTGTTGGGAGTGAAAAAGAAATAGATTTTTTATTTTTGCGGAATGTGGATTGTTTGAATGTATTATTTTTACTTTATTGATCTTTATTTAACCAGGATAGTCCCACTGATTTCAGTCAAATCTGTGTTTATATTTGGTCTAAAATCAAACTCATTTTGTTCAGAAAAATCTACCTGAAAGATACATCTAAACTGAAAAAGGTTATTTGTCAGAATACTGCCATAATTTACACAAAAACAAAACACTTTACACACACTTTTCATTATTTGTTAGTCATTAGTTTTCAACATTTTCCAGCTTCAACATCTACCTTTTCTATATTTACACCCTTTATGTTGAGTTGTATTAACCACAGAACAACATGTTTTTATGATAGTAACTTGTCACATACTGCACAAATTCATAGTATTTTTTTGCCTAATTTTGTTCCACCTGTTTACAAGAGACATCACTCAAAAGTTTTTCTCTAGACTGATCTGAGCGATCTGAAGGCCATGGCCTTCGTAAACGTTGAGCTGAAAGTAAACTCCAGCCGGTCCATTGTAGGTGGGCCTTTTTTTGATGATGCTGAAAAGCCAGTTGTGGTGTTTGAAAGTCCCCTACACAGAAAGATCCTAAAAGTCAAACACATTCTGAATATCTTCTGACTGACTCCTCCCGTGGTTTTTCTTCTCCTCCTCCTCCATCTCATCTGCTCCTCGTGTTGTTTTGGTTTTGAGGAAATGAGATCCAGATGTGGCCTATTGTGCAGGAGTCAGCGATGGCGCATAGGAGACTGGTGAAAAAGCAAGGACGTGCCTGAGTGTGGTGAGGTCAGCGAGGAGACTGCCGCGGTTCTTTGAGGATTGAAGTGCAGTCGTCCGCCCCCTCACCTGCGGAGGAGGAGGCTGGGCTCGGTGGGCAGCATCCTGGCAGAGGGTCCAGGGGGGGCTGGTGCAGGGCCTGATTCAGCAACTCCTTTCAAAAGACCGCTTCCTGACCCCCGCCTTTCCTGAACACATGGGGTTTACACGTTTGACTCAATGAAACAGGATGGACCCAAATCCTGTGAAACTTCTAAAATAGGTCATTCTTTTTTTCCAACATTTTCAGCCTTGTATTTTAACTAGCTATTAACTACGTTTGAATTTACTGACCAGTACTTTATGGGCTGTTTTCCTCTGTGTTTAGAGACATAATATAACACATATTTTGGCAACATACTTGGTAAATAAAAGTAAAAGAGGAATGAGTACATGCAGCCAGGGATAATAAAACATGTAGGGTAAATGTGAGGAGTCAGGTGCTCTTCAAGGATCAGTGGAGAGTGGAAAAGAGAAAAAGGTCCGAGGCACTCTAGTTTAAAATTAAAAATTCACTGAAAGTAAGTTTGGTGGGGAAAAGGAAAAGTTAGCAAGAATGATAAATAATCTTGTTTTATGGTCACACAATAATAAAGGATTGTTAGTGCCTTTGACATTATTTTTGTTTTGTTTTATAGTTCTTGGTAAATTGGTTCTGACATTGGTTAATAATTGTGAGTGTGTTTGTGTGTCGTTTTGTTTGTTTTTGTAGTAGTAGCAGTAATCTTTATTTATATACCGCCTTTTCACTGCATTGTTATGTGATATTGTAAACATTTGTAATGCAAATGGAGGAGACCTCAGGTAGAATAGCTCCTGCAATAGTCAGGAGCCAATGGAGTGGAGATAGTGGCTCAGTTGGTAGAACATTGGCCTTTGGGCCTGAATGTCATGGGTTCAATCCCACCGTAAGACCTACTTCATGACTCCCATTGATGACTGCTGTCGTTGTGTCCTTGGGCAAGACACTTAACCCCACTTTGCCTGAAGCCCCCGCTGGACTCACCACCTGCAGTAGGATCAGTGAGGGGCTGGTGCTGTGTACTGGGTACATCTCTGACTGCCACCCCCCCCGATCCAGAAATGGAATAATAATAATGGATGTAGGTGACTGATGTTTGTCTTTGTAAATACGTACTTGTTTAGTGGGGTGTGTGTGTGTGTGTGTAAGCACTGCTGACAGATTGCTTGTGACGTATATGTGCAGCTATTGCAACATTTAGAAATACTTTTTTTTCTGAAAAAAGGAAATTCTTTGTGCCTAAACTATTGTGAAATGTTTGTGTGGAAAAAAACCAAATGAATATTTTACATCACTCACTCCAAAAAGGCAATGTGGGGCGAAGGCAGTGTGGGTGAAGTGTCCTGCCTAAAGACACAACAATAGGTTAAGCCATGAGCCCCACTCACCACCTAATTAGATCAAGTCTCGAAAGATACGTCTTCAGGTCTCTACTCTAAAATGTGCTTAATTGGCCCCGCAGCCTTGACCCCTCCTTTTAACATGCAAAGTTCCCATTTACAGTTGAGATTAAATGTTGCCATAATGTAGGTCACCCTAACAAAGTCTCAGGTTGAATTGCAAGCAGCTGCCTCGGCCACTTCCTGCCTGCCTGGCATTGGAAAAGACTGCTGAGCATGGATGGTGGTTCTCCCGGCCCCACGGAAAGAGAAAAGAGAAGTTAGAATCTCAGAGCAACACAGAATGTATGTGTTTAAGAAATTCTCTGTTATATATTGTAAAAATCTGTTTGTTTTCTTATAAAAGCATAGTGCAACTGTTCAACTCAACTCTCTGTTTTGTTGATGTTTGCCCAGAGTGACAAATGGCTCCAAATGGTTATTGCACCTCAGAGATCGGGCCAGACAAATGGAAAGACCAGCTGACAGAGAGAGCCACTGTAGGAGGAGAGCGAGGCAACAGATGTGGCTCGGAGATGACACAAAATGTACATACATTTGGTTTAAGACAATATTGTTGCCGATGTGGTGAAAGGTGTGTGATATTACAGTGAATTGCCTTTGGTCTGGAGTGGTTAGTACACACTCTTTCTGTCAAAACGTTTTACATTTACTAAATAAAATGGCAATTCCTGACATTTCCGCTAGTTAATTTAGGGTTTTATTGGGTTTATGTACAACAATAGTCTAAATTTACCTTCTCAGAACTAAAGAAAAGTTCATCTGGAAAGTTTTGACCTCTTCAAAGCCAATTCCAGCCCTCTTCATTAAACCACAAATTATGACCTACTTTTCCTCTGCTTGTGATCATGACATCAATTGTTTTGCAACTTTATTCCACATTTTTATTCACCAAATTCACCAAAGTTTAACCAATTCTGTGAAACTACTGAGCCCATTTTAAAGCGGAGGCACCTAACTTTCAAATGTCCGAAATGGAAAGTCCAGAGAGAGGCCAGAGAGAGACCAGAGAAAGAGACCAGAGCGAGACCAGAGAGAGAGACCAGAGAGAAAGACCAGAAAGAGAGACCAGAGAGAAAGACCAGAGAGAGACCAAAGAGAGACCCCAGAGAGAGACCAGAGAGATCAGAGAGAGACCAGAGAGAAAGATCAGAGATAGACCAGAGAGATCAGAGAGAGACCAGAAAGAGAGACCAGAGAGAAAGACCAGGGAGAGACCGGAGAGAGACCAGAGAGAGACTGCAGAGAGACTGGAGAGAGATCAGAAGACTAGAGACTGTTTTTTTCAATCGGCCTGACTGAAAATAGAGAATGAAGGGTGTTTAAGTGCAAAAGGAGGAATAGAAAATGCAAAAGCAGATCAGATACTTGTGGTTTTGAGGAGGAGCTGGAAAAGAACGATTTTGCAGAAAGAAAGGAAATGCAAATATTTGCAGATGTGCATATTTTAGCTTTGCAGCTCTTCTACTTCCTGATCACGTTTCTTCTGGTGCGCCAGTGATTTTCCATAATTCTTTATGGCCTAGATTCTTGAGTGCAGTGTTTTTTCTTCTTCTACTATAGGAACTTATATACCAGGCCTCCACTCCCTCAAACCAGATGCAGACTTTTCTTGTGAGAATGTGTTTCATCATTTTTTCCAGTTTGCCACATGACGCTGCAGCGAGGATACAACATACAGATGTGAAGCTTTGGTTTGAACCAGTGGAATGAGTGATCACTACTCATTTAAATAGCACCATAGTCACTAGCACTCCCAGAGCAGTCAATGTGACGGTTCTTAGTCTTGGAAATACCTTTAGTCAGTCCATTAACATTATGGGTCTTCTGAACTTTGTGACTGATTTTTTGTTTGACTTCCACAAATGTAGCCATTTTCATTCGCTTGGCAAACAGCATTAAAGCCTCTTTACTTCAAGATGCTGGTCCTAGACCGGTCTTGGACTAGTCCTGGTTCTGAGCTGACTGAGCTTGTTTGCAAGATTGTATTTGCATTGTAAACTATTTGTTTCCCCTCCAGAACACTATTGGCTTGAATCGGAGCCATCTGCTCTGGAAGTTCTAGTAGTTTTGGAATTCTGGGAGTCCTCGTGGATAGCGCCATAATCATAGACTTTTAAATAGCAAATATTGAAATGTGTTTGACAGTTTTTATCAGTTAAACCAGTGGAAGGTTTCATACATCAACACATTTTTACAAAAGAGAAGAAAACACAACTTTCTTTGTTGAAAAAAAAGTCCTTTTACTTTATTTGATGAAATACAAAAGTAAAAATAATTTCCCATTGCATTTTGTTGATCACCGATATAAATATCATTACTATTATCATTGTTAAAGTCATTTTCAACATTATTTGTGTAACAACAACAAAGAACTGAGCACCATCTATGTTCAGAGTTCATAAATAGTTTTTGTGCAGATGTCATTTGTCACTGATTCGCTCTAATTCATTATGAATGTAAACTGGGATTTATTTCACCATTGTCACGTTTCGCCTCTGTCCAGCAGGACTCCCAATGACAACGTACACAACATACAAAGCTTTACAGGAGAACAATAATAACAATAACCATACTTATAAAGAATCCCTAAAGAATTGACAATATTCATAAATTGCACTTAAGTTGGAAATCAGTACCGCTTTTCACACATCATAAAGCAGCTGTGCCGACTTAAAATGACCTTTACAAGATCTAAAACATCAAGTTTCAGAAAACAATTATCCATCTGACTGCTACAATGTGTAATAATATGATGTGTTTTCTTCTCCAGCTTTGCCATATTGGCCCGTGGTTGTTGTGCTAAATCCCGCAGACAAAAGAGACAACATTTGGATATAACAATCGTCTTTAAAACGGCTCTCACATAGTGGTAGAAAATACAATCCCATTAAATCCCTTTTAACTGCAGGTCCTAGCATCGTGGCAGTGAGTGAAATGTCCGAATAAGGAAATGCATGGTTGTCTAATTGATTAGACAGCAGTTCAGGTGGAGTCGTCCAGTTAAAAACATTAAAACCTGATTCATGATGGAGGTGGAGTACAAACAAAACACACATGTTTAACATACACAGACAGATTTTCCTGATTCAGTTTCTAAGGGCATTTTGCACTTTTGTGGCATTTACAAACCACCATCTCTTAACACATTCATCCCGGTTCTTTAGTCTCTTATTCCCGCTCGTGTTTTCCGGCCGCTTCCCAACTTGTCGTCTTGTCCATCGCTCTCTGCAGTCACTTTAACAATAGAATTCACACCCACCGTCCCTACACCTTGACCATGAGAGATCTCTGGCAGTACAGCAGGCGTCTGGGCGTGCCGTACTTCCGGAAGAACAGCAGGGTTCCCAGGGTGATGACCACCAGCACCAGGAGCAGGAGCGGGATGATCACCGCCACGGGGCCCGCTCCGCCCTGCGCCTCTTCCACCTCGATGATGATCACCTCCTCCTCGCGTCCTCTTTTCGGATCCTCGCTATCGCAGCCCATCCAGTCCCGGAGCACCGACTTGGGATAACCGGACTCCACTTTCATGTACTGGTTGTTGAACTTCCAATATTTATTTGCTTTGTAGAAATAGGTGTAAGCTAAAAGGGAAAAAATATATATGTGTTAATGACTAAAACAATACAAATTGGTTCTATATAGCTCTGTTTTAGACGCTTAAATACACTTCACATGTCATTATTCATTCACTCCATACACAATGGTGGTAGCCACAGCTGCCCTGGGCACACTGACAGAAGCGAGGCAACCAGTCTGTGCCATCAGCTCCTCCGACCACCACCAACCATTCATGGACACACCAGACTCCTTCTAGGCAATGTGGGTGAAGTGTCTTGCCCCAGGACACAAAGATAGTTTGGCACTTTACAGCCACAGCCGCCCCACTGTGGCACCTGGTGTTCCCAGAGGTCTCCCATCACTGTACTAACCAGGTCCTACCCTCCTTAGCTTCATAGGTCTTACAGAGTGTATAACTTACATCCATCTTCACTCATGATGGCTGCTTTGATGTTTTCTGGTGCTCCGCTCCATGTGCTGATGGGTTTAGGGTAACCACTGTCCACAGAGCGGCTCTGCTCATTGAAACGATAGTATCTAAAAAGACACAAGTGAAATCAACATTATAGTGACGTAAATATATATACTGTGTATATAATATATATAAATATAATACCAAGACTGTATATGGGGGATAATAGCAGCAAAGTCATGGAAACATTTGATTAAAGGATTGTATATTCACACTTTTAATGTTCTGTTATTATTTATATACAATAAATAATTGCAAATAAACTCTCCTGCCTTTCCTAACGCTGGGGTACATAGCCCTTTCGTTGCATAAATAATGTTGTTTGACCCAACAGAAAGAATCTTGAAAAAGTACCACAACATGTCTTCATCTTAGTAGAAAAGTAGTTATCTTTTGTATACTATCTTTTGCATCGCCCTGTGAGTCACTTTTTGACGCTTTGGGCTGAGAGTTGATTGGCTGAAAGAGGGCGATCCTTAAGTTTCACTTTTCTGTCTGGAAAAGCTGAGCTAAAGATGGGACTGAGGCCAAAAAATACATACATTTAAAACTAAACTTAGTGATAGAATCTGTTTTGAATGCAAGGAACTACTTAAATGTTATTATACAGTTTTAAAGTTAGGTCCCCATGCTTTAAATTGTACAAATCATCAACCTTATCATTTGTAATATTGCTGCTTCTCTATGTAATATTGAACCAGGCACTTTTGTCTGTTACACTGATATATATATACAAAAAAGTATTGTGCAGGTTTGAAAATAAATAAATAATAATAATAATAATAATAATTGAATAACTGACTCGTTTCCTCTGAAGAAGAAGGTCTGTCCGGTCGGGGTGTAGAAAAGCGCAGCATCGATCTTGTCCTTGGGCAGACCAGTCCCCATGTCCCTCAGGGTTTTGGGAGAGTCTTTCTCCATGGCCGACTCACTGTAGACCCAGTATTTATCACCTGCACATCCCAAGCACAGAAATATGAGGGGAGAAAAAAAAGTAATCTCTGGCAGACCTCACATCTGCAGCTGCGATGATGTAACGCTCTGAATATGGTTTGAATTGAACCGGGGCCTACCCTTGAAGAAGACAAATTTTCCATCGTCCCTCTCATACGCAGAGTTGATTCCAGAAGGCAGCCCTTTCCAGAAGTGTCCAATGGGCATGGGGTATCCGGTCAGGACTTTGTTGTTGCGAACGCGCCAAAACCATTTATCCTGCAAAGACAATTCACAAAAAGAGTTATTCCAGTTTTGTAATATTTGTCGAGAGGTTTTACTCTTCACTGCAAAAAAGTTATGAAAAATTGGCAAAATGTATTTTAATTTGAGCACATTTTGACTGCCATAAACAAGATTGGAATTAGTGAATAAAGCAACAATTCTTGAAATAAGACCTTTGTCTTGGCAAATCTTGTTTTAAGACACTTGATTCAAGCAATTATTATCTCATATTATATAATTTTTTTGCAGTGTTTGCAGGGAATTTTAGATTTTCTCAGATTTGTTTTACTTTTTGACAAAGGAACATTCTTACATCGCCCGAAATAATCGTTATTTTGCCTCACAATATCAAATAGACAGAGCACATTTGAGACATGATTGGAGTAGTGAGAAATAAAGCTAGGGTGCCTAAATCCATTGAACTAGTCCCTCGCTCTCAAAACAGTTTGGTTCTATCATTCTGTCAAACTCTTTCCTCAATATTCATACCTTAAACACAAACTTCTCTCCTCTCAAGACGGCGATGGTGTCAAAATGCCCCTCGCACACATCGGGGCCGTTGTCAGGTTTACTGGGAATAGTGGCCTTGGTGGGACGTGGCGGTGGTGGAGGGGCGCCAGATTTAGTGCCTGTGGAAAAAATAATACAATATCTCCTTTATAATATTGGCCGTGTGAAATAAATGCCCACTTTTATGGTTTGGGAATTGGTCTCACCATAGATTGCCTGGATGCCTCTGCGGTCGTCATCTGGAAGTTGGAAATTTTCGGTCTCAAACCACTGGTAAAAGGGCGCCATGATAGCAGAGGGGCTGTTGGAGTGCTCCAAACCGAGGGCGTGACCCAGCTCATGGACCGCCACCAGGAAAACATCGTTACCTTCACCGGAGGTGACAGTTCAAAGGTTTTTAAAAAGTAAAATGAGATGGGACATTTCTAAAGATTACAATGCCATCAAACAACTTCATTTGTCCAGAATATTTTTTACATTATTCTCTTATCAACATTTATCAACATATATTCCTACACGTTTTTACTTTTTGGGCATTGTCCCTGATCAAATATATATATATATACTGTACAGTATATATGAGGGGTGGTGCATAATAATAATAATGATACATTGTTTATGTGTAGGTTTTTTTTGGACACTCAAACAGGCTTCACAAAAGGAGAAATGTTCTAATCTAATCTAATCTAATCTAATTTTGATTAAGTTTGATTTTCTTGTCTGCTGTTAGTGAATCAACCCCTCTCGCTCGTCTCGATTGCTGTTATGATTTGGGGCTACAAAAAATAAAGTACTTGAAATAGCCGTAATCATTCCATAAGTTTCCTCTCACCTCCCTGGTCCACAGAGCCGGTGGTCCACGGCTCGGCGAGGTCAAAGTGCGTGTCGCCGCCGATGCCGTGACCGGGAAAGTACGCGTGCGCCAGGAATCCGCCCTCGCCGTCAAAGGGCGTGCTGTCACCATGGAAACCCTCAGAGAACGACAGCATGATGTCGGCGAACTTATCGACTTTGTCTCTGATCTGAGAGTAGGGGATCTCTCTGAAGGTGAGGGGGATGGCGCTCTCCCACACTTTGAAGGCTTTCCGGATGGCCTCGTAAGTCCCCTGCTCGCCCACTTTGGGAGTGTAGTTCTGAATGCTGTGGACAATTGCATGTAACATATTATCAAAATGGTATTAATATAAAGCTGTGGGTATGATTAAAGCTGGGGTACCTGACTTTCAAACCTCAACAACTATGAAAAATTGATTGAACTCATAATAATAATACATTTTATTCATATTGCACCTTACATTTACAGGAAACCTCAAAGTACTACAGATTAAAATACAATAAAACAAAAAGAAAAACATATGCACATAAAAAAAACATGTTATAAAATCCATCTGACAAGTTCCTCATTCTAAAAACAAACTAGTTCCTCATTGTTTCTATCACTAGAGAGAACCACCTTCACTCGACCAACCAGCTCCCAGCCCAAAGCATCAAATAGTGACTCTCATGGCTCTTTTTTTACAAGTAAACAAGAGAGAAGACTTTTTCTGACAACTGGACATTTTCTGTTATGATGATTAAATATTCATGAGGAAGAGAGTTAGGTATCCCAGCTTTAAATTTGAATATTCAGATGTTTTGTAGTCATATTTATCTACTATGAAAGCATTTGAATGTGCTTTTTTCTGACCTAAAAGTGATTACTGATTTGTCCCACTTCAGCCCCTGTACTGCGTATCTCTTTCTCCGCAGGTTCGTTTTCAACTGTGGACCAAACTTGTCTGGAACACCACATCGAGGCCGGCTCATTGCTCTGACAAAGACAAAAAAACAAAACAATTAAAGGTATTGTATTTAATGTTATGTATGAGTACAACTTGTTACTTGCAAACTCACTGCATTGTGCTGGCGTCTATGCTTCCCGTCACTGTTAATCCGTAAAACTCCTGCATGGCCGAGATCGCGGCTTCCACAGACTTTGGGGAGCGGAGCGCCTGAGCTCTGACATCGCCCGGGGGCAGGTAGCCGTACTGCTGCAGCCAGGACTGAAAGAGAGAGAGAGATATTTAAAGTTTATGTATTTTGTATGAATTGAACTGACACAATATTATTCTATGCCATTTTGTTCAGCGAGTGCAGGGCTCAGAGTGGGTGCTAAATTACAGGTGGGACCCAAAAAACAAAAGTTTGAAATTAAATCACCAAAATATTCTAAAATAAAGGATACACACCAAAGGGACGTGCACAAGCAGTTTCCAAAAGCTTTAAGAATCACTGAGGTACGTGACCTTACAGACAGACGCTCTGTGCGTTATAGATAGATGTTTTTAAAGTATTTGTATTCATTATTATTATTGACAGAAACCCAAACACAAAATATTACTCAAAAAATGGATGAATGGATGTTTTCTCAGATTCCTATGACTATTTGACAAAGGGATATTCAGATGTTGTCTGAAATCATTCCATCATTTTGCTCCAGAAATTTAGATAGACTGAGCACGTTTGAGACATAATTGGAGTAGTGAGAAATAAAGCTGGGGTACCTAACTTTCAAATCCATCTAACTACCACCCTCAATCCTCAATCAGCTCTCAGCCCAAACTGTAATGTACTCACTGCGCTTATTTTTTATTTATTTTTAACAAATATGCAAAATATAGCATATTATCTAACACAATGAAGATATAGGAACATTTTACTGTACTGTCTCTTTCTGTTGGAAAAGTATGAAAAATATGTATTAATTATGAACTAAAAAAGTTAGAAGACCCAATTTTAACTGGAAATATAATAATATTCTCCTACTTGGAATCTTTCATGTAACTTCTGCAATATATTTATTCATAAAATATCAAATGAAATACAATAAACAAGGACACATAGTTTATAGACCATGTCCGTCTCCTTCCAAACCAACGTGACGCACCGTTAATCACTTAAACAGCCATGATTTGGATAGTTAAGCCACTCATATCTAATTTAGTGAGTTCTTTCTCCACCCGCAGTGAAATAGGTTGTAAAAACGCTTCTAACTGCTTCGTCATCACCAGAAGGGCCCGTAAGAGTTTATCTCCCGTCATGGTTCTTGTTTGGGCCTGTCCGCCTCTGATGCAGGACAAAAGCAGCAAATGCCAGGCCGATTTCATCCAACAAAAACATGACTTTTAATCCCTCTGCTGTGGCGCAGTTTTTACACAAACAAGCCGGTCTAAAATAACAGCGACTGCTCATATGCGCCTGTAGTTATGCTGAATGTGCAACTGAAAACTTTGTTGTGGGGTCGTAAGGACGTGGGAGGAGTGGAGCCAAATAAAACACATATGCTATAAGCTGGTGATGTCACGCGGTGAAAGTGCTGTCTAGACAAATGTCGCCAAAAACAACATGTTAATGCAGCAAAAAGAAAAATTTTAGGCCACATTTACGATTGTCAAAGCTTGAGATCTGCAGTCTTGTCGGTTCTTTGTTCTGTCTCATCCAAACCACCAGTGTATTTATCTAAAACCTGCCTATTCTTTCCACTGTCAGCTGCTGGTGGTCCAGGACTCCACGTTGTTAAAATACAGGCTTAGCATCTCTTCAAACACACATTACCACATTGTATACACTTTTAGAAAGCTGAGACTGCATTAACCCTTTAATGTTCACTCCTTAAAGAAACCAATGTCATTTTATTGGGGGATTTTCTAAGATGTAGAAGCACCAATAACAAAAACAATTCAGTTTTTTTTAACCCCTTTAATTATAGACCTTTACCAAATGGTTCAGATGCAGTTTGATGGTGAAAGTGCTTAAAACCAAGTGATAGAGATGCCCCAAAGTGGTAGATTTAAGTTCTAAGCTTCAAGTAAATATAGTGACTCAAAAAGTGATCCACCAAATAATTGAAGAAACCATTAAAAGGTTAAACTTGGCTTAGGTGTTTGTCAATTCTTACAACTCACTCCATTGTGTGACTACATTATGGTACGACTATCTACAAACAAATAAAAAAATGAAATAAAAAATGGCCTATGTTCTTGGTTATTATGATGACAATACTTAATAATCCATCAGAAATGTTCAAAACAATGCTTGTAAGCTCATTTGAAACACATTATTTTGTTCTACTTCATTCATCAACATTCCAATTTAGTTTTAATGTTTTTTATTACAAGTATTTAGATTTTAAATATTAAATTAAAACTGAAATTTCAGCTATATCAAAGCTTTCCACTATATAAATCTATATAACTAGTTCCTCGCTCTCAGGATAGGTTGGCTCTATTGTTAGCTTTCACATGCATGTCTTTTTAGCCTCTGTCACAACTTAAGATCCACTTTTTCAGACAGAAATATTAGCCAAAGTGGACCACCCTCACTCAGCCAATGAGCTTTCCGTCCAAAGTGTCAAATAGTGACTCACAGGGCTCTTTCTTACAAGTACGAAAAATATAACACACTTTTACAACAATAACATTATATTTGGATTATTTCAATTGTCTTATTTATGAAACAGAAAATTAAGTTATCCCAGCTAATAATACAATTGAAATAGATTTTGTACTGCCTTATGATTGCATTATGTGCATATTATTCGGTATAGGTCAAAGATACAAGATTGCACTCAGGCCCAGATATTTAAACAACATACTTAAAAACTATCTCCAGTGGCTTTGCAAACATGTTTTAGCAAATCCAGTCAGTGCATAAGACTGTGAAAAACTCTAAACTTTGGTATCTTGTCCATCTTTGAGAGGAAACTTAATTCTGGCTCGTCCAAAGTCTCAGTGAGATCTAGAAATAAAAGTACGATCTTTGACCTCCACTTCTTCTCAACACCTTACACTGTTACCCCAATCGGATTTTCCTGTAATTTAGTCTGAATCAGTCCAGTGCTAACTTTGAGTGGTCTTCTGCGTGTATAGTGACTGCCGCCAGTGTCCACCGTGGCTCCAGTCTATAAAAACACACCACCACTTCGGCTCGGGAAGCCAGATACCCCAGCCTCGCCCCTCCTCCTTCTCCCTGGCTAGTCAAAGCTCCTATTTATTGAGGCTTATATATGGCTGGTATTGTTGGCCGTGGGGTGGCGAAGGTAGTTTGTGTGGTCAAAAGGCTGCAGGCATCGAGCTCTGAGTGACTGCTGAAGCTATGGCCATTTGACCTCAGTGTGAACTATATACAGAATCAAATAGAGCTGAAAAAGAAATGATTGATGGTATTTTGCAAAGTATTCTATGGACTCTATTTTATTACTACAAAAATGGTATCTATATAATTTCATTTGTATGTTCATTGTATTCTGTTGTTTTGTTATGCTGAGAAAATGACAACCGAAGGATTTTTTTTTTATTACTGGAATTCTCAAGGCAAAAACTGAAAAATAAAAGGCCATAAATAAAAAATATTTTCTTGATTTTGATTAGACAAAACTTACTTAAAGATGGAGGTTTAACTCTTTTGTTTCATAAATAATGCATGATGTCTGTCAACAGAAAGAGTTAAATGTTGGTTACAAAACAGACACACAGTTTAGACACGCACATGTGTGGCTCCGTGTTGTGTCAAAAACAAAACATACACGCAAATAGACAAGTGATCCACAAAGCATGTTTTATCACACGCATCACATGTGACGTTTCAGACAAATCTGAAGAAGACCCAGGCCCGAAACGTATGTGGTCTGATAAAACATTCTTGGAGCAACTGTAGCCGCCGGATGGTTCCTTTTTCTATTTACAACAAAAAAGACCATACCAAGACCAAGCTGTCTTAGCAGGAAACAAGTTGTCCTTTGCATAATAATTACAGACAACCCTCTCACAATTATGACACTTTTTGCCGAGAACTGAGGGTGGTCCTCTCTTTTTCACTTTTCTGTCTGAAAAAGCTGATCTTAAACTGGTCAAATTGTGTGCATGTGACAACTACTGACTTCAGTTGTATTTAACTTTAACTTTTTTTTACCACATCGCCTGTACTATATTCTTTAACCTATGGGGCCTGCTTGTCTGTCAATAAATGTGTTTTTTAGCTTAGTTGTAAGCTTCCATCAGTATATATTGTGTTGCTTGTAGACAATTCGTGTGTGAGTGAACATAGAGTACTTTTATTCGAGAATCTAACCTCTACTTTTAAGAATTGTTGAATATGCTTGTAACAACATAGGCTATACTAGACTTACAGATCGATAAATATTGGAGGATACATTGTACATTGTGCATTTGTGTGGGGAGAATAACACTTTGAATACAAAGGCATTAGGCATAATGGTCAAATTGTGCTGTTTAATTGACCAGTTCTTTTAATTCTCTGCAGGCTTTTCTGGGATTCTCCTGCTTTGTTAAGAGGCTTTCTGTCATATTACATTAAGATATATTGACTGAATGGGACAACAATACAAACACTGGAGCCAAAACAACAACAGGAATCTCCAAATGGAAAAAGCAAAAAGGATTAAAATGTACAATCGTGATTAACTCCACAACAGCTCCATTGTTTAAAGTGTTTTACTGCACGATCCATACGAAGGGTGTTTGCTGCTGGGAGCCAACTCTACTGAGACTAGAATATGCAAAATGCTGATATGGACAATCGTGTTTCTCTTCTTCTGCTGCCATAAACATGGAGCAAAAACATATTTCTTTACAAAATAGCATAAACAATTAAAACAGTCCCAAATACAGCTGCTTGAATGAGTTGCATGTGAGCCATTTCCACTCACCAATAGATCATTATGAGAACAGCTACATACAGAGCTATTGTGGCGTCCTAACACGGTCATTCAACCATTATTCACAAGTAAAGACTTCGACTCTAACTTGTGCATTATAATAAAATCTGTAACTGTCTTCCTGAAAATGTGAGACAGGCTTCTTCTCCGACAATGTTCCAATCCAGGTTAAAACGGTTCTGTTTTGCTGTGCATACAACTGAGGGATTTTATCTTTGCTCTTTTTAATGTACTGTGATTATTTATGCTATACAAAAAAAACTTTCTGCGCCTTTATTAGACAATGCTGACAACATGATATATTTATGGTACTATACTAGAAAGGGGAAAATAAGCAAAAAAATTGTCAAATTGAAGAGAGAAATGTCACTTCTCATCTTCGGAAATTCTACTCTGTGGGAATCAGAGGCATGAAAGGACAAATTGTCAGAGTCCAGGTCGAGTGGAAGACGATCTGACGTGGAGTTTGCGTTGGAGAAGGTAAAGGCTTTAATGCGGTGGAGAAAAGTCAGGGAAAGTCAGGGCTACAAGTTTGAATGAAAGTGAATTAAAGCGACAGCGTCAGTTGTTCCTATTCTTCTGTGCCAATGGAAAAAACCTGAGAAGTGTATTCAGGAGCAGCTTCAATGGCGTCTGTTTGACCCATTTTCCATAGCAGCGCAGGGTTCATGGTACTCTGAAAAGATGCTCTGGTGATGACACAAGTCGATTCACAAACTATATACTTTCACAACTTCAGCAGGTATAAACAGCCATTTATTTACATATCAATCATGAGCTAAATGCAAATATTTTAATACTTTCTGTCAAAGATACCTAAAAGCCTGATTTTGAATTGAACCCACAGTGTATACAGCTGTTCCATAAGAATAAATAAGTTATAGTAAATATATATATTTATAGTCTTGCATACACACTTCTAAGAATGCAGTGACATCCCATTTAGTTATGTTGTTAGTCAGATACTTTATGGATCCCCGTAGAAGAAATTCAGAAATTATTTTTTATTTCTCTACAGCATATTGCTAATCTTTGCTAATTGCTAATGTTTTCATATCTTTAGCCAGGCAGTTTTCAATAACGACCCACACCTAATGGTATATAGTCCTATGATTATAAGTAAGTAAGATTACAATTATGTAGTCCCTTTCCACAAGCTTCAAGGCTATTAGCTCTATACCCCCTAATTCTATTCACTTTAATATGGCAAAATGTGTTGCTGGACCAAGGAGCAGCTACTCTGTGTTTCTTTGTTTGAACTTGACAATGACAAATAAATTTCTATTTCTTCTTGCTGAATATTGAGCCAAGTGCCAAAGGCTCCATGTCAACACAGTCTGTATACTGTAGCTCCATCACAGCAGCTGTAGCGGCCATGAAGAGAAACAGAGCCAGATGTGTTCTGGAGTCTGACAAAGATCAGCAGACATGTGTTTCCTTACATCTCCTGACAAAACCACTTTACATCTCTGTGCTTTTATACCTGTCCGTCTCGACTACGCTGACCATTTGATCTTTAAACAAATCAAGATGAAAAAGACCAAGGAATAGAGTGATTGAAAACATCTGGCGGGGTGTGGCGCCTCAGACAGAGTTAGCATTCCTGTCAGATATGGTATATTTATTGTCTGGTGAAAAGTCCTCATCAGTATACAATTATATTAGATCTTACAGCAGATAAACCACAAATTCCTCTATCCTCTGATCCATGATCCAAATGTATGCTTCCACTTCCTTTTATCATCTGAGCTGTAATTATTCATAGTACAACACCAGACAGAAAAGCTGCGGCAAAACACTCCACAAACTCCACTATTGACACATCTATAATATGCATCATATGTCCTGTTAATAGTTGGACTAACCGAGTGCAGACGTCACCACAGTTTTTGACAAATGCGGAAGAAGCCGATTTGAACACGAACTAGCAGGAGCTAATTTCCTTATATGGGCCTTTTAGCTTTGCCTGTAACAGGAGCAGAAGTGTTACTAAGATGGTTGCTAAGGCAAGCTGATTGGTCAATCCTAACATGGCTCCTATCCAGACAATATCAAAATAAAAACACTGGGCAAAACCAGATGTTTTATGCTCAAAATGGTGACTGTGAGTGTGACACAAACAGTTACTGAGCTAGAGTTTACGTTTCAATTTAAGTGAATAGAAGTCACAGCGAGTTCTCTAATTGGCTACATTGAGCTACTGTAAGGGGGCTAGCATATACAGTCTGGGATTATAGAAAGCACACCTGTATTCACAAACTCAATCTAGCCTGATGGTTTTATTGAGAAAACCAAGACGAGACAGTGCCAGAACTCTGTGTCTGCAGGAATAAGGACATTTCAGACTTCTGATGTTCAGTTTGGCTGTTGTGTATGTATTCTGGAGCACGAGTCAGTGATAAATTTTGATAATTATTTTATTATCTGTATTTTGTCTTTGACCAACTAAATAAAACCCTGGTCATGGACTGTTGCTGCCATATGTGATGCACTACTGTCTCCTCAATGTCAAAACTGAGAGAATGAGATGAAGCTTTTTCCCCGAAGCCATAAAACTGCAAAACCAAGAACTCTGCGTATCTATTGTTACTGTATGTTGTGTGCACTATAACTATGAAACATATGCTGAAGGATACATACAAATTTTGCGTGTATGTGACAATAATATGTTTAATCTTGAACAGTCTGCAACTGTCTCCAACCCAGACCAAGTGTTTTGATCACAGGTTTGAATTCCAGTCGCCGGTGAAGTAATGCTTATCTAATTACAGCTCTTTCTGCATCTTGGCTGCTGTAACATATGACCACATCACATCAGAGCGCAAATCTCTGAAAACTGTACACAACATTTTTGCCCTTATTTAATCTGATGTAAATGTCCCACTTGCTAAATCCTCATTGTAGAAGAAGAATAGGCTTGATTCTCTGCTACAACATGGCCAAACATGTTTATCCCAAACCGGCTCAGGACGCTGTAAATGTTGGTGTTTTTGAGTGTTTGCAGACATTAATCAGTGCGGCCGCTTATAAACTGCTTTGTGTCTGGTCTGAGTCACACGCCAGCTTTCTGTGGTCAGTGACTAAAGCTTTCCTCCTGTGCCTTGCATCCTGTTCAATAATGTAATCACTTTTTTATATAATCAATCGTTACAATTATCGATTACACTTGACTAGCTACATAAAATAGAATATATATAACACATATATCATATAACATATAACACATATTTTCATAATTGTTTGGAAGATGAAACAATGGCTCACTTCTACAAGATTAGTTTTTTTCTTCTGTGTTTATTTTATTGACCTTCATTAAACAAGGACCACCTGAGGCAGAGGTGTGTTCAGGGTGTGTTGGAAAGTAAGACAGGCATGTGCACTTTGATCGACAATACCGTCATTTGCTGTAGTCACTAATGTAACTGGTGAGAAAGTAAACATTTGTCATTCAGCCAACTTCAGCTTATGTGAATCAATATCCCCTGCCCAAAGCCCTGTCAAGGAGGTTTTACGCATCCTGCACAAACTAACATTTGGCAAAGTGATACTGTGTTTTTTATTGTTCTGTATGCTCTCAGCACCTGAGTCATATGTAGGCATTTCTATTGCATACCAAAGCAAGGTATCTGATTGTATAACCATGGTAATTGGGGAATTGGGATTAACTACTATTTTTAAAGCATTTTTGCAATTGGGTCAAGACTGAAGGCGCCCCTGGTGTGTGTGCACCCACTCATTTTGACAACACCAGACCTGCTGACACAAATAACATGTAGTTTAGTTGTTGACTTTCAGTGCTCTCTGTGTCCCAGTAGACCCCTAAGTTACGTCCAGCTGCCAAACCAAAGTGCTGCAAGTTTGTCTGACAACAGTTGTAGGCATTATAAAAGACTCCCCCTCCTTAGCCACCCCTTTTTATCAGAACAAAGCAGCTCAGCTGTGGCTCGGTCAGCAAGGTCCAGCAAGGTCCCTGCTTTCAAGCGTGAGCCCCACACAAGTCAAAACAAGGGTTATGGTTAACACATTACACGTTAATAACAAGAGTTATTCCAATAGACACGCAACAGAAATTAAGCATTATTTTACAAACACCATTATAACTTATGACATGTTAATTTAATCGCACTCACCTCAGCTTTAAGTATATTTGCAGACACTGCTGTGATGCAGGACAGACCACAGGCAAGAGTTATAAGACTGGGCAGCATTGTGCAGCCTGCAGACTAGGCCCAAAGTGATATTTTCTGTAGAGTACAAGTCCCACCACTGTCCAAGCAGCACGCGACGAGGATGAAAAAGTCTTCTCCAGTGCTGGTTTGAATCCGCATGAAAACAACTTAATTCTTTCTCAAACTTAGTAAACAGTCGAAGAGTGAACTAAAAACCACTCGTGATAGTCTTTTGTAAAGTTGGCTCACATTATACTTTGTTGCTCCCTCGCTACGGCTGTGAGAAGCGTGAGGACGTGGTAAAGAGAAACAGCAGAGAAGAGAGAGAGAGTTGGATTTTCCTCTGGGTCCTCCTCCAGATGTGGACTTTTTTTTCTTTCTTTTTTTCTTTTTTTCTTTTACAGTGTGACGATGTACCAGCACGTTTTCCTTGCCACCTTGGGTATGAACTTTGCTATACAAATAAACCTGCCTTGCTTTGCCCATGCTTTTTCTTGATTACCAGTTAGTTAAAGCATGGATTTCTCAGACAGAAATGGAAAATTAAGAACGAAACTGTTAAAACATCAAACAAAAATACTAATAAAACAGAGACAGTAAAAGCGAAGTATTTATGCCGGTATCTATATCACTATAAATTTAAAATGCATGTATAATGTATGATATGCACATGTAATAAAAGTAATGTATGATATATAAATGTAATGTATGATATATAATTAATTGAAATATTTACATTGCTATATAAAAATACTATGCTCTATGGTGACACCTTGTGGCAAAACTTTGATAACCAGATTAGAAAACGTTGAAAAAAATACAGTATTCTATTTTGTAGCTTAGTGAGCCGTAAATTGCAGCACCTAAAACACAGTACTAGTTTTAATGATAAGATCCTGAAGTTTGTGAATGGGAGAATAACGTCAGATTATGACGTCACAGGCGCAATCCCCGGAAGTAGCTCAGAACTTGTCAACACGAAAGGCCAGCAGAAATGGTGAGGCATTCCTGTCTAGTTATTTTGGTTTTTCGGTATAGTTTTTGCTTGACCTTAACTCATTCTAACTTAAATGAAGGTTTGAGTCTTTTATGTAGCCCCTGAGTCGTTTTCCCAATGATGTCGTGGAGCGAGTTGTCCGATAAAAGGGAGACAGAAGTGCTGGTGTTAGCGTTAGCCGATAGCTGCACGGGAAGCTAAGCGAAAGAACTGTTTGTTACTAAAGAAGGCGAGCAGCTGCTCCCGCTGTTTACCGAAACAAAACTATAATCCTGCCACAGTTCTCAACATGGATCTCTGTATGTCCTGAGACACAGTTCTCTTTTACTTCACAATACATTACACTGTATATTGAGCATTGGTATTAATCTGAGCGATTTGCTTTTAAGGACAATGGTTATCGAGATAAGCCTCTGTGAGAGAAAACACGTTGTTTCCCCTTAACTGCTCTGTTACTGAGCGAGTATTTTATGTGTAGTATATGTGCACTGTAAAAAGACAGCTAATGATAAACTTTCTCTTTCTCTTCAACACTAGAATCCTGTAGTCGAAAAGTTCAAGTCAAAACACTTCTCTCTTCACGTTAATCATTCATGATCTCCACAGGTGATGTCTTCCTCTTAACATGGAACTCATATTACATTTTTGAGTTGCTGCGTTTCCCCTTTTCCCTGGCAACATTTGTGGAGGAGAGTAAACAAGATGTCAGTTGCATGCAGCATTTTTGCCGTCCTAATCTTCTCCATTTTATGTAAGTAGAGGTTCATTATGCAGAATATACTTATTCAATTACAATTACTCTTATGATCATCGAAAAGTATATAATATATGATAATATATTATAATCATTCATATTCTTGACTTGGTTTGTATCTTTTCCTTTCAGCATGTTGCTGTTTTGAGCGTTCTCTTTCTTCTGGTAAGACTCTTTCTCACTGAAGTGATATCAGTGCTGCAGTCATTTATGTCATGCTCATTATGTCTCTTCTCTGCTACAGCGCGCTGTAGCCGCTACCTTCAGGTTACAGACAACCAAGTGGGAGAGATCACAAGTTCAGCATACCATAGCTACTCTTATCGATATGGCGCCACCTACGACTGCTGGCTCATCAAGGGATTGGAAAACCAGCCTATTGTACTCAGGTATAATGTCAGACTATTACCAAACTAAAACAGGACACTTTTATCATTCATCAATTTTTGTATAGCCCTAAATCGCAACAGTATTCATCCTGGAGGACATTACAAAGTTGTCGATTTGCCAAAACAGATCAGAGAATTAAACACATCAAACACAGGAAATGCAATGATAAGAAACACACAGAGCCATTGGTCCGTAAAGGGGCAGATGACCAATGTCCATACATTTAATAAAAATGTATAAACATTGGTCTTAATATTTTGAAGATTTTTAACATTTGGTATGTTTTAAATACATTTCATGTTAAGTTAAGTAGATTTTTTGTTGTAAGAAGTTATTATTCACTTATCTTGTTCGGTGTGCTCCTCCTTCCTACTGTTCTGTAACTGGTGATGCAACACTGAAATAGCCCCACTGTGGGATGAACAACTATCTTTACTTTATGTTAATCAAAATGTATTAAATATGTTTTGTCCTTTTTATTTATTTTTTAGCTTCTCTCAGTTTTCTGCACGATGCAGGAAGGAATGGGTTTCGATTAAGTCATCCGTTGGTGGGGAGCCCATGGTGCTCTGTGGAAAACTGCCCCAGCCCATAGAGTTTCCTGGGGGGAATATTACCATTATCCACCATTTACTCCCTCACCTGTTTCCTGTCTCATCATTTCGTTTGAACTATGCTAGAGGTAATAAGTCTTTATATATTGCCTTTGTTAGCCTTGTTTCCATGTTTACCACCTTGTCTTAAATGTTTATTTCCTGAATAGATTCTGGCTTATGCCCCGAGACGTCCTTTCAGTGCCTGGGGGGGCGGTGCATTCCCCTGTCCTGGCTCTGTAATGGCCAAGTCGAGTGTTTAGATGAAGGCATTGGTTTTGGTAGCGACGAACAAGACTGTGAACCAGAAGTTGACCCGCCAGAACCCACCAGAGTCAGCTACACTTCTGCAGGAGAGAATAATGTGGAGACTTACACAGAAAAGAACCGCGCTGTGGGTCAGACCGCCATCGACACAGAGTCCGATCTCTGGGCTTTGCTTCAAGGGCGTCGTGGAGAAGAGAGTGAGGTGGACCAGGTGCTCAGTGCAGTGACCCCTGCGCCTGTGGACTGGCCCTGTGGGGGGCTGCTACAGACCTTCTATGGCACGTTCTCACCTCCGATTCTTCACGGCCCTGCAGTCTTTTGTGTGTGGACAGTGGACCCCGAGGACTCCAGGCCCCTCCGACTGGACCTACAGCAGCTTTTACTTGGTCCCGGTGACAAACTCACAGTGTACAACAGAGGACAAGGCAAAGGGGATATTCTCAAAATGGTGAGATTACTAAGCAATCTTTATATTCAAGGTCAACAGTCATCGGGGCCCATATAGTACCGATAATCAGTACATTACTGAAGGAGGCTGGTAAACAATATATAGAGTCAATTATAATTTATTGTTTCAATCACCAACATTTAACACATTTATTCAACCAAACAAATGGCAAACAGAAACAGAAAACTCTCATAGATAAAGTACTGGAGACTTAAGTGGGCAAACAGATCTCTCAGGTAAAAGAAATTGACTTGTAATCCTGTTGACCGAAATAAACCGAACTAATCTGATCAGACAGCGCTGTGTTTCGGCACATATACAGTAGGAGTTACAACATGAGTGCTGCAACTGCTGAGTTGTGCAGTAACAAATAGATTCTTGTTTATATATATTTTAGGTAATGTAATATTGTTGATTTGACCAGTATGCTGCACTAGCTCATGTATTGTACTGAACCTAGCTGGATTAAACAAAATAAATACATTACTATAAGGAAGATTGTTCAATACATCAGTATTGCCCAAATAATGGGTTGTCCCCTTTTCCATGTGTAGGTTTGAAGTCAAGCACATATAACTAATAAGTCATTATTGATGTTTCTTTTCAGATCACCAGTAGTTGTAATTACAAATCGATCCAAGTAGAGTCTCACACTGGCATATTATCTCTGACTTACCAAACCATTCCTGGTTCAGAGGGAAGTGGTTTTAATGCTACCTTCCGCGTGGGAACCTACTGTCCTCCATGGGAAGGCAGATGTGGTGGTGCCGCCGGGGGATGCTTCACACAGGAGCAGCGCTGCGACGGTAAATGGGACTGTCCAGAGACGGGTCGGGACGAGGAGGGCTGCAGAGGCTGTAGTCGCAGTCAGTTTGCCTGTGGGGTGGCAGGCCAGAGGTCTGTGGCATCCAGCCACTTCACTGGCAGACCTGTGTGTTACCCAGTCACTGAGCGATGCAACTACCAGCTGTACTGCGCCGATGGGAGCGACGAGAAGGACTGCACCGTGTGTCAGCCGGGAACTTTTCATTGTGACAGCGATAGGTCAGTACTTCTCTGATAGAGAATGCCAAGTAAATTTGAATTGCTTTTACAAATGTATTTATCAGCCTGGATAGTCCATACGATAAATAAATGAAAGAAGAATTTAAGTGTATGTGTGTATGTGCACTCTTTCCAGGTGTGTGTTTGAGACGTGGCGCTGTGACGGCCAGGTGGACTGTAAGGACGGCACTGATGAAATGAACTGCACTGTCATCCTCCCGCGCAAAGTCATTACTGCTGCTACAGTCGGGAGTCTGGTGTGTGGGCTGCTGCTTGTGATTGCCATGGGCTGTACCTGCAAACTGTACTCTCTCAGAACCAGGGAATATAGGTATGAATGTTCTGTTTGAATATGTACATCTTCCATGTGTGTGTGTTATCTATTAAAGGTTTTATAATGAGGTATTTTTTACTACATCAACAGCATGTTTGCACCCATCAGTCGTCTTGAGGCGGAGCTTATACAACAGCAGGCCCCGCCTTCCTATGGCCAACTGATTGCCCAGGGTATAATTCCCCCAGTAGAGGATTTTCCTACAGAAAACCCCAATGAGGTCAGAAAACAACCAAACAGACATAACGCTGATTTTGGACAAGTTGTTAACACTTCTTTATTCTTCCTCTTTAGACTTCTTCTCTGTCTTTGAGAGGAATCCTTCAGCTTCTTCGACAGGATGCAGCCAACTCCCCACACCGCAGACGCAGGCCCAGGTTTGTGCGACGGGCCGTGCGAAGAATGAGGAGATGGGGGCTCATTCCCAGAACGTCCTCGCGACCGTCTCAGGCCTCAAACTCCAACCCACCTCAGGCTGAAGCGCCCTCCACTCCCCATGGACCAGCTCATCCCACAACCCCCAGCTCCTCTTCAGGTGTGGAAGCCGTCAATCAACCCGTGCCTCAGAAACTGGGCTTGTCTCAAACAGAGCAGCCACAAGACGCCCTTCCACTTGCTCCTTCCTCACCCCCCCCTGCTTCCCCTCCACCTCCTCCATACGCCCCTCCCCTCTCAGACACTGCCCGCACTCCTCCGGTCACTGTTCCTCCCAGCAGCCCCTCCCTGGCCTCTATCTTCCACACGCTGGGGCTGAGCATCTCTCTGTTCAGAGCCTCTCCTTCCAATAACTCCATGCCTCTGTCTGCGTCCCCGTCCTTCTCGTCGTCCTCCTCTGATGATGACGTTCTGCTCATTCCGCTGTCAGAGGACACTTCCTCCACCGCTTCAGAGGATGATGTACCCATGCTCACTTGATTATTGCGCGCACGTCTGTCTTCTTTGAGTAAAATCCTCTTTCCACATTTGTTTGAACTGAAGCATGGGTGAGCCTAACCCTCGCTGCGCAAGTTTGGTGCCTTTGAATTACTTTGAGTTACTGAAAGTATTTTATCCTTGAAAACAAACTCCTGTGTTTTTGACAAACATGGCTGACCTATGTTTTGAGAGTATGTTGATGAGTATTAATGTGCACTTCATGCTAGGCTGCACATTGAAGTCATATTTTGCACAGAATATTCTTCCTTAACCAGATATTAAGGCAGACTACTGTCAATTTGAGTGATGACCTAGAGGTGTAATTTTAATGTTTGGTTTGAGTGTAACGGAATGAATGCATTTGCTTGTAGTCTTACAAAGACAATGGAGTATTGTAGAGGTCTTTATCGTCCGGACTCATAGCTCCCTGGCCATATATTTTTCCAATCAAAGTGCCTTTAGATTCATGTAGAATCATCTGAAAAGCCACATTTGTATCACTTCAAGTCTTCACAGCGACTGTAAACGTTTTTACATCTGCATCCAAGATTTTATGCCTACATCTAAATACATTGACACACAACTGTAGTGATAAAAGAATTGCAGTACTCACTCACTTTCAATCCAAAAGTATTTTTAAAAATTAAATTATAACATACATCTTTTTTAACAGGGGGGTGTTTCCTGCTGTGGAAATGTGGCGTATCAGTTTTGAGCTTCTCTCTGCACAGTGCGCACCAAAAACAGGCACATTCTTGGTCCTCAGCGTATGTTTCCACACACTACTGGGTAATGAAACAAATGCATGTCTCCACAGGATGTTGGCAATAATTTTTTAACCCCGGTTTTGTGCATATCCAATCTTCCCACTTGAATGTATTACACTCAAACTTGTGTCTGAGACAATCTCTCTGGTGCCTGAAACAAGGTGTGGATTGTTGCGCAGAGGACAAAGTTCTAAAATCAACCTCAACTTAGAGTCATTCTGTCACAGCACGTTTGTGATGTGCCATCTGTATCATTTTACTTTCATGGTGTTTATATTTTAGACCGTTAACTTTTTTATTGCTTTTTTGAATGTAAAAGGTTTAATGGAGGAAATTTGAATTTATAATATGACAATGAGAGAACATAATTTGATTTTATTTGGGTCAAGTTCACTGTATATAATTAAATATGTGGCTGAGATTAAACAATTTGCACTTTTACGGTTTGATTGTTTCTTTTTTTTCAGTACTTGCATTACCGCTTCTGCTACATGTTAGAATAAAGTATTTTTTCCACATTAGGGCATCTTTGCTTAGACTTCTGCCCCCACGACCCGGCAACGGATAAAGCGGAAGATGGAGCAAAACTTTCTGATGATAGACTACTGTTTTCACTGGGAACAACATAATTTAATGATGAGCTGTAACAAACTTAGTAGTTAGATTGGATTTCTTTGATCATTACAATCTGTTCTGGCAATGGCCTTAATCACATAAAACAAGTCCTGTGTATTTCCCTGCATTTCCTCATATCGGCTCTCTGCACTGTTCACATAAACACACTGGGAAGCAGGAATGTGCTAGATCATCAGCTCAGGAGATCAACAGAGGGAGCACTAACTCTAACACTAACTAAGGGTTTAACTCTGTCTAACGACCTGAAATGGGTTAAAAACACTGACCGGGTCGTAAAGAAAGCTCGTCAGCGTCTCTACTTTCTGCGTAAACTTGGAGAATTTACCACTAACTCTAAGATTCTGCTTAACTTTTATCGCTGCACCATTGAGAGTTTACTTGTTGGTTCTGTGTCTGTGTGGTTTGGAAACATCACAGATAAAGAAAAGAGATCTTTAAACAAGGTGCTCCGTTCTGCAAAGAGGACCGTGGGCTGTGAGCTTCCTGTTCTGGAGGTTCTTTATAAATCCAGACTTTTAAACAAAGCTCTTAGGATTGTCAATGACTCTTCTGGCCACCCTGGAAAAGCCATGTTCCAGCTTCTTCCCTCTGGCAGAAGATATCGCTCTCTGAGATGCAGGACATCTCGTTACGCTAACAGTTTTTATCCACAAGCTGTTATCAGTGTGAACAGAGCACTTTAATGATTTGCACTTGTTTTGAACTGTATTAGTCGATCGATTTCACAGTGACATTTGTTTACTGTTTTATTTGTTTTATTTTTGTCTTTTAATGTTGTTTTATGTCTATATTTGTCTGTGCACACTGGAGACTTTTGCTAATGTATTCCAATGTGGTTTTTTTTACTGCAAATGGCAAATAAACTGAATCTGAATCTGATCTGACTACAAGAATTAAAATACATAAATTGGCCTCATTGCTATAAAGGCCGGAGCTCAAATAACTTAGTCTAGCGAGTTCTGTAACTGCTTTCTATAATACACTCTATAACACACAGGTGAGAAAGGAAAGTCTTTAGGAAATGAACCAACCTTAGTCATTGTTGCTTTGTTTCTTTATATTCAAATTAACTTTAGGAAGTCACTGCAGAGTTGAGACTGAGAAGAAGCTTCATTCAGAAGACGGCATGACTGAGACCAAGAGGCTGAAGGTAACTACAAAAATATATGTTTTTCACTATACTAGTTTTTTTGGGTTAACTCAAGATGAAGTGCTGATGTGTGTTTTGTTTATCTGTTGCAGTGAGGTTGTGCAAAACACCTGAAGAAACTGTCAATTGTATGGCTATGTAGCTTAGAGTTGGCAGAGAAAGTGGATTGCCAAAAACACATTCCTAAAGCTTAACCTCAGTTAATTATGAGACGGACTACTTTATAAAACATGCCACTCAAGTTATTTAAGTGTGTGTGCCAAGAATAGAGGCATATCTTCTGCGTATCATCTGCTTTTATCTTCCAAGTTGTACCTAAGTCCAAAGAACGTGGCAATATTATGACTTTTTTTATTATGAGGCTTTTTTTATGGAGGTTGTGTCTGTGTGCTGAGCTTCCTGTTTTCAGACCAAAATGTATCTTTGACAAAGTTCAAGCCAATGTCAGGCTGGTTAGAGCTCCCCAACAGAAGGATGTGTCTCTTGAGGGAAACATGGGAGGAAATAACACGTTGATGCAGTCACACAGAAGAGTCAGGGAGATGGAGCAGCCGCAGCCAATCAGGATCAGGGCGTGGTTCACAGAGAAGAGCCATCACCAATCAGAAGAGAGAGACCGACTGGAGACAGCTGTGGAGGAGGCCATCGAGACCGTGGCGTCTTTGCTCTCCGGTAACCAGCTGTTTACATTAGTCAGTAGTCAGTCTAACAAGGACCTATGCTTATTCATCTCCACTTTATATTATGAACTTTACATAGTTAACAGAGTGCCAGGACCTTTGCTACTGAAGCGAGACTTCAACAAATATTGCAAGTTCCTTTGGAGAAACTCGAGTTCTCTGAACTACAACAGGTAAACTTTTAGTCATTCATATTCATGTTCATCTTTGAGTATTACTGAACTATAAACCGCTACTTCTATTTAAAGTTATTTGAATCCTGTAACCTATATAGTGAGGCAGCCAATGTACTGTATGTATTATTTAGTATTTTAGCGCTCCCCATGGGGTGCAGGAACATAGCAAACATTCCTGCCTTCTGGTATGTTTATGTGAACAGCAGAGTGAACCCACATGAGGTGCAGAAAAATGATTGGGGCTATTCTCAGAACAAAGTTGAGGGACTTCATCCAGTACGAGTAGGGATTGGATGCATGTAGGTATAGATTTTCCAGAGTACTTTGATCATCATGAGTCAACAGTGTGTTAAAACATCTCATTATTAAGTGTGTCCAGTTAAAACAGCGTGTGGAATTACAACATGACAAAAATATACCTAAATCCAAGTTATGTAGGAAAAAGCCTTTATATTTAACATTTAGGTCTATGTATACACAGAAAGTTCTATGTATACAATGTTTAGAAAATACTTAAGTTGTTACGTTTGCAAAGTCATAAGTCACATTTGTCTTTTGTTGGCAACAGATTTTTACTTCTTTTCTCTTTAAGGTGTGGGAGAGTTAATAAGACCTACAGAAATGAAACCTGCCTTGATGTGACTGTAAGCAATGTTACAAGTGTTATATGTTCTGTATTTAAAAAAAAAACCTCATGCATCTCTCATTATTTAGATCCCAGATGAGCACCTGGAGGGCTGTGTGGTCTACCCAGAGCCAGACTCGACCCATGGGACTGTGGTGAGGCCTGAAGGAGCTGGTCTCCCTGATGCAGACTTCCTCCTGTACCTCCATGTGCGAGCTACTGACAAGTGCAGAGCAGAGGTGAGATGCAGATACAACACAGAATAATAGACAAACAAACCACAACTTTAGCTTCTAATTGACATGCAGGTGTGCAATGATTAATGTCCAAATCACCAATATGATGATTAGGGTGATTTAATGAATATTTGTTCCACGGGTACCACAAATTTTGTCCACAAAATGATCTCACAGTGAATCACCCAAACAGCAAATAAGTAAGAAATGTAACTCAACTGTAAGTCAAAAACTGTTGCCTACAGTATGTACCCAGGAAAACTCCACTACCTGAGGTGCTCTCCCAACTGGATATTTAACTGGATATTTTGTCCAAATTAGAGGACAATAGTAAACAACAAAAATAAAAACTTTATAAACTTGAATTCCCTTGACTCTCATGTATCTTATGATGTCTAAGCCATGAATTTAAACCTCTTTATTCCAGCCAAATGTACAGGCATATGCAGTCCATTGTCAGACTGATGTCGATGGTCGTCCATTGGCTGGAGTTGTAGTTATTTGCAGAGAAAGTCTTGCTGGATTTACTTACAGCCATCACGCAACTGTCCAGGTGTGTTACATACATTAGATATTGTCCAAATTCCAATAGTCTTCTTTAATCTTAAACATTACTTTTTCTGTAGACCCTGATCCACGAGATGTTTCATGCTCTTGGCTTCTCAAAGACACTGTTTAGTTCTTGGAGAGACTGCTCCACCTCCGCTCGTCTGTATCAATTTAAAGTATATTATAGAAAACTGAAGCATGTTATTGATAGCTGTGTTGGTGCGGCCACAGGTTGTTCGCTTCGAGCCAAAATGATTCGTCCTGATACTTCAGGTCAGATGAGGATTTACACTCAATCTGTGACCTCAGCCCTTCAACAGCACCTGAAGAGCACGGATATGAACGTAGGAGGGCCTTTGGAAAATAAGGTACAATCACAAGTGCATCTGTTCATCTGTACATGCCTACACTGCAAAAAGTGATGAAAAATAAGTCTTTTTGTTTGTTCTTTGACTAAATTTCACACTCAATTTGAGTTATTTTGGACGATATTATTAATAACACAAATACTCATTGTTATTGTTAGTGCTTGTGTGAAGCTATTTATTTTCAATTAAATGTATTTTCTATTTTCAAACGATAATGACAAGAGAAACTTCCCTGATTTTACATTCCCTAAAGTCCTTATTAGTGTGCACAGTATGTCCCCTTTAACATCTATGTCAGTCTTGTGGTAGTAACGTGGACTCTGAGGAGCACAGGGACTGGCCTCCTGCTGGTGCCTAGAGTCAGGACTAAACACGGGGAGGCAGCATTTCAGATTTCTTGCTAAAATCTGAAACCGTCTTCCTGAAAATATGAGTTAATAACAGTTTTTTTTAGCTGCGCAAACAAATCAAGGACAGTTCATTCACAAGAGTTGCCTTGTGAATGAACTGTGCTTTACAAATAACCTTGCCTCGCCTTGTTGTGGATGAGGTTCTGATGGTAATGCTGCCCATTCTCTTCAAAACAGTTCAATAATGTCATAATAATTTGAGAATAGAAAATACATTTATTTAATACTTCACACGACCACTAATGAGGAAAATAATGCACAGGCCAAAACAATGACATCTCTGGCCGGGAATGTAAACTTTCTGATGCTGTATTCCTCAGGATGCAGGTCCGACTGGGGTCTCTTCACACTGGGAGTTCCGTCTGATGCAGGGGTCCATCATGGCCGCGGTGCTCGATGATCCGCTCACCGTCCGGATCGACCTCCTGACCCTCGCCGCGCTGCAGGACACTGGCTGGTACACGGCAAACCTGGAGCGGGCACAGCAGCTGGTTTGGGGAGAAGGTTTGGAAATGACACCATTTAACATAGGTGTTTGGATGTGATGATATATTCTGATATAGTGAAGTTCTGTTCAGTTCAGTTTGGATTTTTATTTACGCTCAGAACATTACATACAATAATAGTCAAATCCAAAGTTTACATAAGTGCTATGTGGACAGAAGGAAAAAAGAAAAAAAAAAAAAACATCTAATTGCCCACCTGCCTAGAAAGAGTGCTTAATTTGTAGACTGGGGGTAGCATTTCAGATTTATGCATCTGGATAATTCTTCCTGAAAATATGAGACAGGCTCTGACAATGTTCAAATCAAGGTTAAAAACCATTCTGTTTAGCTGTGGATACAACTGAAGGATTTTATCTTTAATGTTAAAGGTTAAATTAAACAAATCTCTATTTTTTAATGTACTATTTATGATTTGAATGCCTTTTTAATGTATATTTTTCTAGGGTTAGGCTTTGTAAGCACTTTGTTGCCTTGTGTAAGAACTGTGCTATAAAAATAAACTTGCCTTGCCTTCACCAGCAAAGAAATACTCAATTATAAAAACACGTATTGCTTCCAAATATAATCTCTAACCTCTGGCCAATCAGAGCCACCTAAACCCTGCCTCTAGGCATAAGTAAGTTTGTTTGTTTAGAAAGATAATGTGTGACTAATGGGATGAGAATCAGCACCTCCAAATCTGAGGCCATGGTGCTCGACCGGAAAAAGGTGCCTTGCCCTCTTCAGGTGGGTGGAGAGGTCCTGCCTCAAGTGGAGGAGTTCAAGTATCTCGGGGTCTTGTTCACGAGTGAGGGAAGGATGGAGCGTGAGATTGACAGGCGGATCGGTGCAGCGTGCGCAGTGATGCGGTTGCTGTATCGGACCGTTGTGGTGAAGAGGGAGCTGAGCCAAAAGGCAAAGCTCTCGATTTACCGGTCTATCTTCGTTCCCTCCCTCACCTATGGTCATGAACTTTGGGTAATGACCGAAAGAACGAGATCGCGGATACAAGCGGTCGAAATGAGCTTCCTCCGCAGAGTGGCTGGGCGCTCCCTTAGAGATAGGGTGAGGAGCTCAGTCACACGGGAGGAGCTCGGAGTAGAGCCGCTGCTACCCCACGTCGAGAGGAACCAGTTGAGGTGGCTCGGGCATCTGTCCGGGGAGGTGTTCCGGGCACGTCCCACCGGGAGGAGGCCCCGGGGAAGACCCAGGACACGCTGGAGGGACTAGTCTCTCAGCTGGCCTGGGAACGCCTTGGGGTCCCCCCGGACGAGCTGGAGGAAGTGTGTGTGGATAGGGAAGTCTGGACGTCTCTGCTTAAGCCTAGAGTATACTTGCGCGGCGTGGCTTACGTTAGCGGTTGCGGTGGACCTACGTAAGCACAATTGATGTTATACTGGCGCGTTCCCCTTACGGAGTTTTGAGGAGAATGTTGTAATCCCACAACAAACCACATGAGGGCGATCACACAGGAGCGGTCCCATTTACGCTGCTACTTTGTCCTCTTCAGAACAACAATAGCAAACAAAGCTGTTTGAGTTCATTACACGTGTTTCTACTGTAGGTTTATGTGGTAGTTTTATGGATTCATTATTTTATAAGTCATTTCAACTGTGATGCTGTGAATAAAGACACAGTTCTTGTTGGAAACATAGTTATTATTAAATAGTTTTCAGCACAAACAGCAAAACAATAATAGTGGTAAATATCTGAGACAAACGACTGCACAGTTTATAAGTTATATATATGTTAGATATAAGTTATATATATGTTAGATAGTCCACAGTCTCCTGTATATCGGGCTCTGAGCCCAAACTGCTTTTCCTTCGAAGCACAAAGCTCTCTGCTCCATAGTGCCTCCCTGCTGCAGCCGCTTCATGCTTCCTTCCAATACACACACACGGACCAATCACAGCGGAGATTCCTTGCGGCGACCCTTACGTAGTTAGAAAATGTCGATGCTGCGCGGCAGGCGATGTAAGGGCCTTGCGGTGACCAACCAAGCCCCGGCGATCCAAGATGGCGCCCTATTCAAATGAATGGTTGTTTTTTTTTTCAATATACATAGTTCCCACAGACCAATGAATGTCACATGACCTCCTCGGAGACGCCATCTTTGATGGCACGCTGCTGTGTTTGTGCATTCCATTAAACAGAAGAATGAGAATAAATGTAGATATTCAAACGCAAATTGGAAAAAAAGGGCAACTTTTGAGCAAATAATTGTATATTAATACAATGGCACCACAGTTTAACGTGCTACGGACATGTTTTACATATTTGATCAAATTATGCAGCAAAAATTAACAAGCAATGCAAACATTTCTCAAAAACTTTAGATTTAATACCAGTTGGAGCTCCATTTAATTATTTTAATTATATTAACAATTAATTTAATTAATGCTAATGCCACACGGACACTCTGGATTGCTGTTATTGTTTATTTCCGCGTTTTTGACCGTATGTTTTGGTGAATGGTGGGCAACTGATTTTTCCAGGCGTAAAGAGCAGTTTATTTTATGACACAGATCTTTTTACAGAAGCAATGCTGTTTGTGAACATTGTTTTAGCCCACCATAGAACTATTATTATCTATTTAATACATTTACGTTGCCCTCGAGAGCCTCGGACGCGACACCGATCCTCCTCATAATAAAGTAATCTAAATAATGAAACTCTCAAGTTACCAGATATCAGCATACACAAGTTAGTGCTGAGTAAATTACGTCTGTCAACACATTATAAGATACGATACGCACCTGACACAAAGTGCTCCGAGCATATTCTTGCGTGTTTTGAGGGAGTTTCTTGCCTGTTTATCTTCGCAAGCCATAACCTCCGTGGTTGTTCTGACAAAAGCTTAGTCTTCTCACATTCATGAAGTCTAATGATGGGTATACTGTAAAATCCAAGTTTAACGGAACCTCCGGCACGATTTGAACATCCATTGACCCAGCAGGAGATGACCATTTTCAACTTTATCACGACATTAACACGTTTCAGCTTCTTTTTCTATTGTTTTGCCCACAGAATGCCAACACAAATGGCGCCGGGTCGGCAAATCCCCGTATGTAGTGACGTCATGTGGGAACTATGTATACTTTTATTACAAATCAAAGTACATATCAAAATGTAAAATATACAAACATCATGGCAATCAATGCAAATGTACAAGTTGTAGTGCGGTTTACAAGGCATTAGCAAAAGAAACAATACAGACACATACACATTCATACACACACTCACACACACATATAGATGAGGTTACATTAGAGGTCATCAAATATTTGTAAATCTTCAAGTGCTTGAATCAGGGATAGTGCATTTTTACATGTCATCTGTTTCAGGGATTTGACATAGTTTTCCTGTGTTTGCTTCCTAAATACTGTGAAAATAGGCTTTACCTTTCGCCATTTACATGTATGGATAAAGTATTTTGCCAGCAACAAAATATTATTCACAACAAGTTTTGTCTCAAAATCTTCCAGAAAAAGTCCAAAAACAATATTGTCCCATTTAAATTCATTCTGTAGCTGGATTCTTGATGACAGCCAGTCCCACAGATCGTCCCAAAATGTCCTTGTATAGATGCAATCATAGAACAGATGTTCAGTAGTTTCAATGTCATTTTCACAAAATATACAGTTGTTTTGTGCAATATTAAATCTTATTCTGAGCAGCTCACTGGATGGATAGATTTCATTTAGAATTTTGAAGTGTACTTCTTTTGTTTTAGGGCTAACAGGAAATTTTAAATATTCTGTTCTTATTTTTTTATTTCCTTTAAAGAACATTTTTGAATGATTGAGTTTCTGTTTGGTTTTATAGGAAATAGGTGATTAGTCAGACATTTTCTGAGGGTTTTGTTTGGTATATTTTTTTCAACAAAGTTTTGCTCATATATTTGCAAAGTTGAAAAATTAGGAGTAGGCAAATTATCTAGAGCCATATTTTCTATCTGAATCTTTAGAGCTTGAGGAATTGATTTTAAAATCTTTTTAAATTCAGATTTCTGACATTTGAGATTGTGAAAAGTGCAGAAGTTTTCAAATGATAACCAGTTCCCTTGGTCATCCAGTAGGTGGCGCAATGACCACACTCCTTTATCCATCCAGTTCTGCAGAAAAATAGATTTTCTATTACAGAGGACATATCTGTTGTTCCATAGTGGTGTTTGGTGAGGGGTGAAATTGTGATTGTACATGAGTTTCCAGCTTAACAAGACTTGTTTATGAAAGGACGACAACTTAATTGGTAATTTATCAGCGTTGAAATCACACCTAAGGACAAACTCAATACCTTTTTTATTTTTCCAAATAGACCCCTGGAGAGACAGAACCAGACACTATTTTTTTCTGTTAAAAAAGATCTCAGCCATTTAATTTTTAATACACTGTTTAAGCATTCAAAATCGATTGCTTGAAGTCCACCTTCTTCATATTCTTTAACAGTTTCAGATTTTTTAATATAGTGCACTTTGTTTTTCCAAATAAAGTAAAGTTAAAATTTATTTTGTTTATGTCTTGTTTAAGACAAGCAACAACCAGATGGCCCTTTATGCACTATTAGTCAACAATAAAATCAGGCATCTTCAGAACTATTCAGATGGCACACAAGCCTACATTTGGTTCATAACTCTTAAAACAGCTTGCAATATGTCAACTCAGAGAGAGACATAGCAGCACAGTTTGCTGGTCCATCTGGCTTTTTACAAATTAATGTTGATGTCATTACTTTTTGCATGCGATGATGACCAGATGATGTTATGGGAGGTAGTTCTTGTTTGATTTCATATTTGTGAGACAACATTGTGTATAAAGCGACTGCAATGTCAACGTTTTTCCGCGACCAAACAATATCCAATTATGATCTGATCTGGACTAATCCATAAGTTTGTAAGCTTTTTTGTTGTCGCTTGGATTGCCTATTACCCTCGGACAACAACAGTACGTCGCTGCATTGATCCGAAACTTCCGCGGAAATGCATTGGATGTCAACAATGGCACAGAGGTGTATAACATTTATTCATGGACAATGCTTCAAACTGGATAAATACCACA